TAGTTAAGTCACGCAACCGCATTTTGCCTGAAATTTACGCAATAATTTCATAACAACTTTATGTGACTATAGATTGTTTATAATGTAATTTGAACCTTGATTAAGGCAGTAAGTACAAATCTGCATGTGATTTCAAGTGTTTATAGTGCAGTTCGAGCAATTCTGGGGAATTTGGCTGATTTTTGATAAATCTGACAGATTTTTGAAGTGCATTTAGCAGAATTTGGCCATGACTTGCATCTTATGCACATGTTCACATACAAAATGTACATGTACATCATACCATGTTTGCTTTTTTCATTTAAGTATGGAATTAATACATGTCTTACATGGAATTAAATAGTCTTACATGTAATAATTAGACAGAATAACGCAATGTGCCGGGAAGCGCCATTTTCAGAGGTTGACCTGTATACAAAGAGCTAAGGACAATGCCTACGACACTTTCCATTTTATCACGGTAACATGTACATGTACATTGTACAGTATACGTGTACATGTATTTCATTGATATGTACATGTACATGTACATGTACACCTGTACAGTACAGTACCGACAGCTGTACTTTCTACCAATTCTTGCACAAACCATTACAGAATTTTTCGCTCATTTCTTATTCAGCTTAAGGGTGTGTTAAGACCCTGTTGGATTTGCATTTTGAGTTTAGAAGACACTTCAGCGTTTCCTTCACCGGAAGGCAAGGATTTCCATATGATTTGTGAGCAAACAGAAAACAAGCACATACATGTACATGTAATCTGGTAATTTTTAAAGTTGGTGGCAACAAAACTCAGGAATACGAGTTGGTTGAAGAGGCTTGTGATAGCAAATATAAAGTAATAATAGTAATAATTACCGGCAATGGGTCATTTGGGAGACATTCCGATAGACTCGTACATTTTTTAAATTTAATTACCCCTAATCCCAATTTTACCTTATCCTACCCGCACAAATTTGGAATATTTATGTTTTGGACCGCGAGTAATCGATCTAGCCTATTTGCAATGGTAAAATGTTGCCTCTAAATAGCTCTGTGGCATTAGGGAAACCATCGAAATGTCTTCCTAATGTCCGGTGTCTCCCTAAGGTACATGGGCAATTCTCCATGGGAGAGCAAAAAATGTCAAAAATAAATATTTACATATTAAACCTTTTTTGTACTTTTTCCAGACCTCAATTAAATGGGGAATTCAGTTCAAAAAACGAAATTAAAAAAAGATACATATTTCTGGTAAAAACAGTGATTTTTGCAATTTATGATTAAAAACGTTCAGATTTGGTAAAAAAATAAAATTTTGTATATGTATTACTTTCTGAATTATAGGGAAAAGATTTGATTTATTTTATGATGTTACAAGTTACTAACATTACTCAGGGTCATTTTAAAAAAATATAAAAATATATAGTGTAGGCCTTCATTTAAAAATGTCAAAATTAGCACGTAATTCCGTTACCAAAAAAATGGCAAAAGTTACTTATTTCACAAATTTTCTTGTTTTTTTTCTTCAAATCATGTATGTTGAGAAAAGACCCTACTATAAACATAAATGAAAAATAAAAACATTAAAATAGTAATTTCTTGGCATTTTTCCAAGTGGTAACGGAATTACGAAACGGTAACGGAATTACGGTAACGGAATTACGCATGCACAAAGTATGCACATTTCCTCCAGATTATGTACATGACATATTAAATAGGAGATTTGCATGTAACCTTGGACAATAACTTTAAATACTAAATTACTTGTTAAATCATTTCCCTCTTTAATTTGCTATTATACAATTAAAAATAATCAGGTGTTCCATTGATATTTTTTACTTTTACTTTTTCTTTTTTACTATTTAAAAAATGCTAATAGTTGTTTGGATGCTTAAAGGGAATATACATCATTTGCAAACATCAGAAAATAAAACTACCAAGTTTTTACGAAATACCTTACTAGGATGTTGGTAAATGACAGTCTCAAGCATCTTGTAAAATTATGGCACCTGGTGTGAAGTAATTTTCAGGAAAATAATATTTTTGTATACATTTCCAACGGTGGTCGGCCGACCACCGTTGGAAAAACCTAACTATTTTTCAACTACTGCTCCAACTTTACACTCTTTCCAGTCCAAATTTTGTTTGCTACCGCGTATCTGTTACATGTTCATGAACGGGTGCAGGCCAGCTAGTCTGGTTCCCTTACCCTCCAATTTTCCGGCATCTATAAATTGATCCATTTTACCTTTAGTGGAGTCAAGGAACCAGACTACTGGAACAATTTTGTTTTTCTTGGTTTTTCCAGCATTTTCGAACACAAAACTTCAAACATGTCAGTGTAACAATATTTGATCTATTATAGGCCTACTAACCCCTCAAATAGTTCATTTCTGAAAATTACAGCAAAAGCCAATGATGTACATTCCCTTTAAATATGTGTTGCCAAAGCCGTTGTCTGGTACCCACAGAAAATATATTCCATAACAAGTATATGAAAGTTGAGTACCAGACTGTACTTGTACTTCTACTTGGCATAACTTAACATCTTCCCTTGCTCAGAGATGCCAACCAGTGCAGCTTTATTGTATTTTCCACGATAAACTAGTGAAATACGATAATACAATTGTTCATAGTAAAATTCGATTTTCGGTAAAAAAAAAATATACATTGCTAACAGGCAATGCAGCCATCACCAGACTGCTTCATTTGACCTTGACCTTTGACCTAAAAAATGAAGCCCAGACATGTTTAGGCCTACATTTACATTTTGATCTGCTAATTTTCACTTAGCTTTCCCCTTGTGGCATTTTATAAACTTCTAAAATTTGTATTGTGATGAGTTTATGTTGAATTCAACGTTAATGTATTGCATTTACCGCCCGTTACCGCCCAGGCGTAATTCCGTTAACGTGATTAAAATGCAAATTATGAAAAGAGTGATTATTTTTTCAACTTTGTTCTGCATTGTACATGTAGTTAACAACACCCCTGAACTCTACAAATAACAGGCAGTGTCCAATTTTAAAATTTCAAAACTTCAGAGAGTTTTATTAATTTATGCGAGAACTCAAATATGCTTGTCCTCCGTCCATAATTCCGTTACCGATATTAAGCTCCGCCCCTTAAAGGGTAATCTTGTGGGATTTTTTTTTTTTTAGCGGTCAATCAATTCTATTGGGTCTTGGCTCCCTTTCTATGTTTAGATTAGTTGCCTAGCATAGAACATATTTTCTTGGGAAAGAATAATCCTTGACAAAGTGACAAAATTCCGTAATTCCGTTACCAAAGAATTGCCCACATGTATAAAAAATGACAAAATGTCTCTAAAGATACCATTAACAGGTGTAATGATAATAATTTCTCAGTCGGTATACAGAGCTAGAGTTGCATTTTACAAAAATTACCCCCACCATGCCCACAAAAAGGGGCCCCCAAATGTTATTTCAAAGTTCCCTCAAAATTGACAGCCTTGAGCCGTGCCTGGTTTTCCAATTGGAATCATATTTCTCAGCAAGGACATCGATAGTCTAACCTTTATGCAAAGAACAGCGAAAGCTAGTAAACTAGACAACACGAAGCAGGCATGTATCGGTAACTTCAGAGGACCAGCTATCTAGCAGGCTGGCTCTCTGGTCTTCCATTACACTGAGATTCCGGCTTGGCTTGATTGTCTTTCTGGAATAGCATTAGGCCTACATGTGTATATAGGGAGCCTGCACCCGATTTCACGAAGCGCTGCGACGCATTGCAACTCGAGTTACGACGTGTAACACGTCGCAACTCGGGACGCGTCGTATCTTCCATTTCACGAAAGTTACGATGTGTTGAACGCGTCGTAAGTTTCTTGACAACGGCTTAAAACACGTCGCAAGTTACGACGTGTCTAGTGGTCATCGCAAAATAAGAAGAGTCATTTCTAAGCCAGTTTTACATGTATGCCACAAACATTACATTAACGAGATCATAATACCGAGGCAATGTGTGTAAAGTTGTAAATAGAAAATTCATTGAATAATTATGAATTAGACCGGAATATTAGAGTTGAAATTTCAAAGTAGCTATACAGTCCGATGAGAGCTTGTTTTCCTTCAAAATTGCATCGCACGGCCGCCATTTTGTTTTACGTTTTAACAAATTTTGAGCTGAGATCCGACGACTCTTTGTTGAATATCAGACGACTATTTACTGTACGCTGACTAAAGACATAAAACAGTCACCGAGTTGTGCTATAAATACACCTACGACGCGTCGCACTTACGACGTGTTTAGTGAAATGGTTCGCAGGACGCGTCGCAGCTGCGACGCATCGTAGAGATACGACGCGTCGCAGCGCTGCGATGCTTCGTAAGTTACGAAGAGTTTGATGAAATCGGGTGCTGGCAAGGTTTGTTGTTTTTCCCTCCAAAAGGTTTGCATTCTGAATTTACAGACAGCTTCAGGCAATAGGCCTAAGGTTTCAAAACAAATAACTTGGTTTTCTATTATAATCACAAATGAGATTCAACCAACTTAACAACTAACAAATAAAAAGTGAATTAACAACCTCAACAAAGTAACCTGCTTATAAGTTAAAAAAAAAAAAAAATACAAAGATGGCAGAGGTTTTTAATTCTTGTTTTTTAAAGGTTTGAATTTAGCAATCAGCTTAAAAGAATAAAAGTCATTTTTATTAAAAATAGGGGATAAACCAATTTTAGTTTAAGAATTTTTAATCTACATTGTACATTGTATGTAGACATGAGAACATTTTTCAAAATTCTTGAAGACTGGACAAAACAAAATTGGCAAGAGCATCATTCAGATATAATGCAATTGAAATCACCCTTTAAAATTTGGAAAAGCAAGTGCGGTTACTAAGGATGCAAATTTAATGTTTGAATTCATGTCGCTGTGTAAAACACTGGCCAAAAGTAAACAAATAGCATCCCAGCAATCCTGCCATCTTTACTGAAACGTGTCTGCGGTGAACAAAAATCCAATGAAATCAATACAAAGAGACAGTAATTTGAGCCTCACCTTCACCGTTCTCGTCAAAGGACTGCTTCCGCCCTGAGTGATTTGCTCCCATGGTGCACCCTATCTTGACGCCGAGTCCCTTAGGTTCTGCCCCTACGCCGGGGGGCAAAACACCCTCGATCCAAAAATGCACAACCTCCACAAGAACAAAAATTTAGAAAACAAACGGTTTCTCGTGCCGACACCACTGCCCGCTACCACAATTTACTGCTGCTGTGGTAACTGCGGTATTCCTGATCCGAGAAGCTGATTGCACTAGTCTATTTACACGGAAAGATCCAACATGCTGTGTGCTGCACAGATATATGTACTCGGGCTGACGATACGGTCTCACACTAATTTTGGTTGAGATCTTGCCGTGTGTCACAACACCACATGTGTGGAGGTGGGATATGTTTTTCCAGCTCTGTTGTGGACGACGCTTTAGCTTGGGTACAGGCACTGATATTAACAGCTTACTGACACCAAGCCATCCAAAGATGACAACTCCAGATGTGCCATTGTCCGTGGTCTTGCTTGGTCGCCGATGCTCACATGACGGTTATCTACGGTCCTGAGCCTACGACAGCCTTGGTGCAAGTGTACATGTTTAGCCGCACAATGCCTCAGCTGCAGTGCATTTTATCCAGCTCCCTGATCTGTGCTCAGTGCGCTGCGTAGTGCTGACAGACCAATTTCACGTACATGTACACGCTCTCCGTTCTGCCGACGTGTTTCCCCGGCCTCCACCCTGTATGAAATGGAAAGGGCAAGACAGAGCAGCGTGGTAATAAATTGCCTTTTTGGAAAGCTGTGTCAAACCAGCCTCTATACTAACAACACGGGGCTGGCCAACCAGTATATTCTGACGGCAGGAAGCTTATAGCGCCGTGAGGATTCCAAGCTCTCTTTTTATTTTATTGCAAATAAAATTTCAGCATAATAAAACTGTGTAGTCACTAAGGCAGTACTTTGATATAAAACATAAAAATTAGGTACAAATCTCATCAGTGTTCTACTTTCTGATGAACCCCCCACAAAATGCAGGTACATGCACACTTTCTTCAGAAAAAAATGTGTAAGGATGCATGTAGGCCTCCTTTATGTAGAATAAATCAAAATGATACATGTACATGTATCCATACCGGTACATTGTACAAACGGTACAGTGTACATGTAGGTTCATGTACATGTACATGTACATGTACATGTGTATAAATAATTTTTAAACAAATGTAGGCCAGCTGCATACAGACCTGTACTTTAAATACAATGTATTCAAGTACATACATGTAATTACAAACTTCTTGCATTAACATTTCCCTCCAAATTTCTGCTGTAAAACCCCTGCCTGCAAGTATGTGAACGGCGCATTAATATTTTGATGATAAACGGGTGCATTAATGGGTTGTACAGAATTACATATATTATCATAAGAAATTTGTGACCATTAAAAGCAAACAATGTGTACATGCCAACGCACATGTACAAGCCAATTTAATACATTACAACATTGTATTGCATTTACCATGCCGATGCAAGACAAAATAGGCTCATCTCAAGTTCTCAACACATAGTTGCCGTTACATATAAATAAAATAGACAAAATTTCACCACTGAGTTTTTAGGAGATTAAGATTTTTTTTTTTTGGGTAGCAAGCTTCATCCCTCCAATTTATACCTTCCCAAGGTATTTAAATTCACCAACTTTACACATGCAGTTGCCATTACAATTGAACACCGGAGTCAAGAATTTAACCAAAGTTGGAGTTGTCTCGTACACATGTACCTGTGCCATTAGGCCAAGTAAAAAAAAAACCAGTTGATAGTCCGGGCTTAATCAAAAAGAAGAGGATGAGGGCCTTCTTATGTTTTATTTTTAATTTTTTCCCAAGATGGCCGCCAAGTATTTATTTTCAAAATGGCCGCCAATTTCGGTTCAAAACAACCGCCAGATTTTAATTAGCTATCCTAATAGTAAGTAGAGTCAAAATGTTCATGTTAAACATGTTCTAATGTAGTTAATTAAAGCAAAATAAAAGAAAAAGTTAGCTTTTTGGGGTGAGAAAAAAAAATAAAAATAAAATAAAGGATGCGGCTTCTAAAAGGATGCGGCTGGGGACGATCAACTTGTATTTTTTTTTTTTTCACTTGGCCTTGCTGTACATTATGCATGATGCAAGTCTCCCAGAAACAGCCATATGCAACAACAATGTCATGAATATTCAAAACCAGCACATCCCAAACCAGTCACAACAAAGTATATCATATTTGTTCAATGTAAGAACATATTACAAAAAGGAAAATGTACATTTGTACATGTACCATAGGCCTACATGTACACATACAATGTACGATACATACCTTGCATGTCCATGGATGTGCTTTATATATTTTTTCTGTCATAGATGACGTGATAATAAATATAACCCCCAATATATGCTGTCAGCTTTTTTTATGAATAGCATTCATGTGAAATCATTGAAATTGGTCACTGTTTTGGGGTTTTTTTTGAAGTGGAAATTGGAAAATTGAATTGATTGCCCTCTTTGCGGAACTGAGTTACCGGATAACTAGAAGAAAAATGAAGACCCATATGAACGTGTAGAAATACGATTTTAACGTTAACTGCACAAGACCATTTTACAATTTCGGACTTTATTCCCCTTAAAAACAATCCTCCAGAGCCACAAATCTGAAAAAGAAAATTTAATAGGCTACTCTGCAATGTTTGAGACATGTTAAAATATGATAGTGGATATTTTGCCGGAGGTAATGTCGGCAAACTAACGTTTACTAAAGGTTTGCTGGCGGCAATCCATATCAACAGAGGGCGCTGTACTAATCACTTATTCATTTATTCACGTAATATAAATCAAGCAATATAAACCAATCATCTAACGGTGGTTTGCGGTTACCAGCAACAGCACCCGTGCCATGGCGCGCGTGCTGTCTGGCGCCAGACGACGGCTGATTTACGTTAGTAATTCTGCATTTTCGTTATGCATTATGCATGTCTACCAAAATCGGTAGACATTATGCATGTCTACCAAATCGGTAGACAAATGTAAAGAAAAACATAAGTTTTCTCCACGAGATGGTAAAGGCCCTCGCGGCTTCACCGCTCGTGCTAGTCTTTTTACGTGTCAGCATCCGAGGTGCGTCACAAGTCCGGGTAAGCGCGTGGGACTTGACTAAAGGCTAGGTTCGATTCCGATCCCTGCCACATTTCTAAGGGTTTTTTCCCATCCCCAAATAAATAAGAATATTTTTCTTTTATTATTTGTCACTAACATTTTATTGCAGAGTATTACATTTTCTTTTTCAGATTTGTGGCTCTGGAGGATTTTTTTTTAAAGGGAAATATAAGTCCGAAATTATAAAATGGTTTGATTCCCATCTTGTGAATACGAAGTTACAACGATAATATTGGCATGGAGCCAGACTAAAATTTGTCACCGGAAAATGTTCAAAGTAAAAAAAACCAGTAACTGCGCATGTTCAGTGCATATCCGGCAAACTAATGCTTACTAAAGGTTTGCCATCTCCGGCTTAATATCCACTGCCTTAAAATAATAAAAGAAGTATGAGGAAAAAAAACCTTAGTTAGAATTTCACCAGCGGGGATTGAGATCGAACTCGGGTCTTTCCGCTCATGAGATCCGTTGCTTATCCACTTGACCACAGTTGTTTTACACAATCATTGGTGGTTATTTAATATATCTTATAATTCAGCCATATCTTAGAGAGTACAGCCCCCTCTGTTGATAGGGATTGCCGCCGGCAAACCTTTAGTATTAACGTTAGCTTGTCAGGAATACCACTGGCAAAATATCCACTATTTGTTTAAAAAAGCTTCAATCGTTTCAAACTGAGGTTCACTAGGAACTGGACTTTGTCGTGACGCAGTCACGTTTTGCCTGAAATTTACGCAATTTCATAACGTCTTTATTACTTTACAGATTGTTTATAAATGTAATTTGAACCTTAATTAACATGATTAAGGGATTTAAGGCAATACATGTATCCTCACCCCTCCAAAATCTGCTGCGCAGGTAACGTTTGCATACGTGCATGCGTTGTCAATGTCACACACAAATTGAAGGTACGGGCCTAAAAAATGCGTAGAAATAGGACTGTGACTGAGTGGCTTTAGCTTTAGGGGGTCTGACGATACTACAACAGCCGCGGTATGCTGCGCTGAACCTCTGAGCGCAGCATCCCGCGGCCACACTAGTGCAGTGGGGCTACATTATCATATGTTATACAGTTTTCAAGTAATTCTGGGAAATTTGGCAGATTTTTGATAGATCTGACAGATTTTTGAAGCACATGTGGCAGAATGTTGCCATGACTTTAATTACGGCATGGAGGAAGGAACCTCCTCCATGATTACGGTCACCCTTCATGCACACTGTCACTGTGCCGCTGACTGCATGACACAGCTGAGTCGATATGGCCGGCCGGCCACTGAAGTGACACCGACATGACCGACATTAGTGCCACTGCACTCAGTGAATGATAAACATTTTCTTTCATATATCAAAGTTAAGTCAAACGTTTGATAGCTCACCTCTCAGTCTGTACTGCATGTAAATATGCTGGGGAATTGTCTTTTCAACCGCTACATCACCATCTGATGCTGATCATGGCTAGCCCAAAAAGCGAGTGTGTGAAACATAATCGTACGGAAAAAAAGCTAAAGCTAGGTACAGACTAGACTAGACTAGACGTGCGTGTGTGTTGTCAACAGAGGGCGCTCTTGCTTTATTATGGTCTCATGTCTCAGACTCGAAGATGGGGGTCTAGTTTACCCATTCTAGACCCCGCATGATTGAGTGGTCGGGCACAACCCAACCAGTTTGGAGTTGTTACGATTAACCTTCCTTCCTTCTCCTTCCCTCCCTCTCCTTCCCTCCCCCCTTCCCTCCTTCCCCTTCCCACATATGAAAATATGTAACAAAATGGCACTTGGGCCACTATATAGGCCGACTTCCATTAAAAAAAAAAAAAACTATGGCCAATCGGGTTTTACTGACCATGTTGTTTTTCATAATCACCCGTATGGGCATAGCCTACTATGCTTCTTCTGGAAGCATGGACTAATTTCTGGATAACAACAATCAAGTTTCAAGCCCCCGGGAACGGGGGTGCTGTGGATGCTGCAGCGGGCCCCCAAACTTTTTGGATTGGGGTGCTGGAATATGCTTCAGCACCCCCTACTCCCGGGAAAAAAATGTGTTCCAGCCAGCCGTGTTCTACGACGATGAAATTGCGCCGCTACGCTATACATTGTGCTTGCTCTACAAATATCTCCTTCGTTTTGTTCGTTTTGCTGCGGCTAAGCGCGGCGCTGCGAAAGTCTAGCACAAACACTGTTAAATATCAAGAGGATGTATTTTCTAAACCTTCAGGGCTCTCAAGGTATCCAAAAACATTTCATGGGGGGGACGTCATGTAGATCGATGATATTTTTTTCGAAACTCACAATCTCAGTGGGGGGGGGGGGGGGCGACTGGGGGGCCGAAAAGGTTTCATGGGGGGCTGTCGCCCCCCACGCCCCCGGGCTACGCCACTGGTTTTGAAACATCATTGTTACATTGAAAAAAAAAAACTTTTTAATTTTGCCAACGCGCATGGCTACGGCGACGCACACGCAGACCAGAAACCGGAGACTCTTTTGTTGTTGGCGTAAACATGTTTTTTTTCTGGCAGCAGTTCATGGGTATTAAGTCCTAAAGCAAAGTTATTTATTTCATTTGTGATTTTCCACCCACGCAGTATATGTACAGTCGGGCCACAACCAGTCACGTCAGGTGTTTTTCCAGTGTTACTGAGAAAGAAAAAAATGCAAAACGTGCATGAATGCACATTCTTTAAACGTGACATTTAGCGGGTACACACACACAAGAAAGCGAGTCAATAAAAGGTCAATCCCTAAAGTTTGGGCTTCAATCTGTCGCTGGTTTATTTTTTTCTATTCAGTGAAGTAGTGGAAAATGAAAAAATAAATTCTCAATAGACTACGAACCACTAGCCTACTGTAAGCCCAGATTTAGTATCCCAATTAACTTTAATTACAGTAGCCTTACTTATTACCCGTTGACATCTTTAAGATTATTTCAAATTACTTTGTGGTTCACAGAGACACCCTGTCTCCATTTGTGTGGTCACACTGGGCTCGGTCGTAGACCTGTAAAACCACATTCTAGATTCCAAGTATTTACCGTCCTTGGTTTAATTCACTCAGTTACACACAATCCATTATGTTCCATTCCTGTATTTAATCAGCCCCTCTCCCTGTAAGTCCTCACTTTTTACTTCCCACTTTCTCCGTCACACATTCCAAAATTTGTATCCTTGTGGAGACATTTCTTTGTTCTCGTGTAGTAAAGTGTTCAATTTTGAAAGTGAAGTTTCAAAATGCTCTTATTTTAACCATAATTAGTTTCCTTGGCTGAAATTTGGAATTAATATCCCTTTTCTAAAACTCTTCCATTTGCGACAAATCAACCAACCTTGGAAATTCCTAGTTTTTGAGCAAAACCCATATATCTATTTCGCGAAAACCTTGTGGAGACCTATTCACCTATACAAATTGCCCTGTGGAGACCTTTACAATGTTTTGTTCACTATTGTGTGTGAGTCTCCACAAGGCTACGAATTTGTGGTCATAATAACTTGTGTTACACTACTATAAACTTGGATCAACAGATTCAACCCAAACCCAACCCAATCTATAAGTTTCTCACAACACACGAAGCAAGTTGTAATACGGATAGACGATTACTGATTATCCAACTTGGATCTTGGATGCTTACAGACGCTGGCTTCATGAACTTGGACTCCACAAAGATAAGCAATAATCGGGCGGATCAGGAATAAATCACGCATACACGGGACAACATTGGACTGCAGTAAGGAGACGCAGGTTAGTCAATACCATTCCGATGGTGTGTGGGGAGGGAGGACAATTTTTTTGGCGTGCATACATGAAGAAGTTTTACTTGGTGAGAAACTAGACTATAACGGGGTGAGCAAAAAAAAAAACCAACAACAAACGAAACCCAAATGGCAGGACCAATTTTTGAATGAAGTTTTGCCTGTAAAATGCAAACGAAAATCGCATTTTCTACCAAAACATACTGTCATGGGCGTCGCCAGGATGGGGCACGGTTGGGGGGGGGGGGGCTCCATCCCCCCCCCCCCGGAAAAGCAAAAAAAAAGCCGGGGGGGGGGAGGACAACAAAAGCAAAAGAAATTAAAAGAGAAAGAGATGTGAAGTCCAAATTTGCTATTAATTTAGTACACATTTAACAAAATGGGCGTGTGCAGGGGGTGATAGATTGAGAATATGCCTAGATAAAGCACAAATAGAAGTTTAGGGAAAAGTGTGCTTTTCCTTCCTTAGCAAAATCCTGGAGACGCCCATGAGTTGACTTCTCTGAAATTTAACCACATTTTTTTGATTTCACTCTACGCGATTCTACGCGATTTTTTTCGTACCCATTTTGCAGTTCATGTAGTGTTAATCAGCGCGGTTTTGCGCATTCACGGTGCGTCGCGGTGATCGCCATCTTTATTTTCGTGTTGCAGTTTTTTCGTCTTCGTCATCGTTTTACCCCCCAAAATCAAAACACTGCCCGTTATCCGATCCGCGACACTCTCGTTGGTCTTACATGTCGCTACACTGTACAAATGGTGTTTAGGATTTAAACACATTCCTAAACACTAATTCTGTACCCACTTTTTCCACACGTTTAGTATCATGACATGTTTAGATGTCCTTTTTCTGTGACACGCATTATCCGTTTGACATGTGCAATGAATAATGTTTAGCATTTTAAACACCTTCCTAAGCTCATTTAGATATACAATCCTAAGCACATGTCCAAAACGTTAACACGTTTAGTTTCACAATATTAAAAAGTGGTAAACGTTTAGAATTGAAACACATTCGTAAACGTATTAAACAAACACGTTTCTGATGTGTTTAAATGCTAAACACTGTTTTTACAGTGTAACCGTTGCTTGGTAATTAAGAGAAAGAGAGAGGGGAGGTTGAGCGATAGTCAAGCTGGTGAGTTTTGTTTATTTACTCTTTGGGGTACTTTTTTTAGCCAAGAATTGAATTAAGAGGCTAATCAAATTAATCGGGGAGTTGTAGACAGCCTATTAAAAAGATTGAGAACTTTTTTTTTAATGTATCATATCAATGGAAAACACAGATGGAATGTATGCATGGGCGTAGACTTGACCCAAGTCGGGATTCTGTATGGTCCGTGTTCCGGGTGCGATATTTTTTATTACACAACTATCTATGGATCGAGAACCTGCACTGACATTGACGACATCACACACGTTGACGCCGCTGTCATAATTACGAAAATCGGACTCGTATGAAAATCGGACTCTTTTCCCCTTTTATTGGTTAAACCCTCTCACGTGCCCGATCCCTCTCCTAATTATCTATGCATGAGCATGCACAATGCCACCAATGAGTCCGTATCTCATAAAACCTAAATTCATGCTACACCGGATCGCGGAACGGCAACCAGATGAGGGCGCCCTATATAAGCTAAGACATTGATCTCCATTACTAATGAGATCAACCTCGTTCCCATGGATACGAGATCTTGCTGCGCCTTGTTGTTTCCCATCATGCCATGGAGTCGAGGCTGTAATGAGATCAATGAGCTAGGGCCATTAATGTTACGCGTATGGATTGAATTCTGAACAAAGCAAAGTACGCGTACGGTTTAAACAAAGCAGAGTACTTTAAAGTCCGACTTGGGTCAAGTCTACGCTGTTCCAAGCGGACGATTATGGGCACTATGGGACAGTAGCAGTCATGTGGTTGCTAAAGGCAAAGCGTCTGCCGTTGTTAAACAAAGCTAATCCGATTACGTACTTGGACGCTATAGCAGAGCAGTGAAATTCATGCACCACAAAAAAAATTGGCCTTTTGAACGTTGTGTTTCTGGAAGAAATCGTTCGAAAATTTCTCCAAATCTCTGTATTTATATCAATTTCTAGGAATTTCTCAAAATTGTTATTTCACGAGTACTTGAACAATTCTACCATCTAAGTATCTTCCGAACTTCAACTTAATATGTCATTGCAAACGCTAGTGTTACAATTTGAACCATCTCCATGGAAAATTTCGACGATGATTTCTGCCGACCCAAGTCACATGCATTGTTCAGCTATAAGCGCCTTAGGCGCTACGGTTGACCGATTTCGGCCAAGCCACACAATATCGTATTGTAGATAAGCATATTCATTAGCGTCACTCGGCGTGTTTTGGCGTGGGTCTCGGTATCGACCAATGAATGCCGGCAAAAAGGGTGATATTTATCAATTAATAACTCGTGAAGGAGGATTTTCTCAAAATTTTTACTGCACAACATAATGAATGGGACCCTTATTAATATTCGTGAGGCTTGAAAAGATTGACAGCTATTGCAAACGTCAGTGTGACAACTTTCAATGATGCACGTAGCCAGGCCTATTTTTTTTTTCAATTTCAACGAAAGTAATGAACACATCACAACGATTTTTAGCACAAAGGATACTTGGATCATTATAACCCTGAAAGTTGCATGAAGATACGGACTTCCAAACAGGAGAAATTAATTTTCAAAGATTTCGCCCGCCAACTTGAACATTGTGTGTGCACATGTAGTTTCATTCAAAATGAAGTGTTACGTAACCTTTAGAAATCGCCCATCGCAACCGTATGACTGCATCTATAAATCATCACAGCAAAACGTTTCTTACGTCACATTTTTGTGCGCAGTAATTCCAGTAGCCTTGGTCAAGGCGCTAGTTGTTATTAATCCCGGCCGTGGCGCGGTAAACGATATCCTCGCTAGCGCTATGTATGCGGTGCTAAGTACAGTGCGAACAGCGACCTCACGCGGCCACCATTTCTATGCAAATCAGTTGGACCCAATCTAGCGCCTTGGTTCAATCGTGGGCAAAAGCTTATGTTTTTCTTTATTTTGCGCTGGATTTCTAGCGCACGACCTCGTATGCGAATACTGTAGGCGGGGCTAATATGAGGAGTGTCCAATCACACCTTGGTAAATCCGGACGTCATCAAATTATTTGCAGCCATTCGCCTTTTGCGGACGTGGCAGGAACCACAGTTTTTGTGCATATTGGTGCCGTGTGCAGAGACACACAACGTGTACGTGTATGAACTATGTACGGTGCCACGTTTCACTCTGCAAGTTTCCGCGCAACGATCGACCAATAAGAAAACGACATTTAAGGTCAACTAAGGTTATTAACATAATGAGCACCACCCCCAAAACCTCACATGGACGATTGAACCAAGGCGCTAGATTGGGTCCAACTGATTTGCATAAAAATAGTGGCCGCGTGAGGTCGCTGTTCGCGCTGCATTTTTAATGCACTGCGTGCATAGACATGACTGCATGCATAGCGCTAGCGAAGATATCGTTTACCGCGTTCCGGCCGGATGAATTGAACAACTAGCGCCTTGACCAAGGCTATAATTCCACCAGTTAAATTGTTTCCCTGGCAGATGTTCAAGGCAAAGTTATTTCCGTCTCCATTTTCCACCCATACAGTATTTGCACAGTCGGGCTTCAGCTAGTGACGTCATGGTTTTTTTTCTAGAAGTATTACTGTAAGCGCAATAATTTTATTCAAATGCAAGTATTGCTTCAGGGCAGATTCAGTAAGCGTGAAACAGGACAAGGCCTTGTATCGCGTGCACCAAAGAAAGCCAGACAAAAGAGGTCAGTCCCAAGGCACGGCTTCCATTAATCAGTCGCTGGTTGATTTTCATGTTCTGTAGTGTTGAAGTGAAAAATTCTGACAATTTTTTTTTTGCTCGACACGTTGCGAACCACTACTAAACTTGGAAAAGCAACCAGCCAAAACGGTCGCGGTCATGCATGATCGAACTAGGCATGATTGGAATCCGAAGGGGTGAGACCCAAGCAGGTATATTGGCACTCATGACTTTGCTGTTAGGAATGCTGGTCTACAAAATAAACTTGCGTCCCAGAAATAGGTGTGAAAATTGGGTTACCGAGCAATACTATATAGGTCTAGTTATTGGCTATACGCCCATAGCGCTTCAACAGACCGATACGTATATGATCATTAAACCCTACCGACGGAGCCAGTCTGTGAGTTTCTCACACCACAATTAGCAAGGTGTAATACGGTTAGACGACTGATTATCCAACTTGGATCTTGGATGCTTACAGATGCTGGCTTCATGAACTTGGACTCCAAAAAGATCAGCAGAAATCGGGCGGACTAGAAATGAATCACACATAGGACAACATTGGACTGTAGTAAGGCCGAGAACCAGGTTAGTGATGGTGTACGGGGAGGGCAGTAGTTTTTGGCGGGCATACATGAAGACATTTCATTTAGTTTGAAACAGTGAAAGACCAGACTATTTTGTGTCAGGAATAGTTTAAACTTAAGATAACGAACATTGAATTTAAGAAAAGAGAAGACTTAAACTTATATGCATAATCAGTCCGATATTACTGTGTTGGATTATGTCTGTGTCAGACAACGAAGATATCTGGAAGCTATTTTGGTGGGATGTTCAGCCGGATAGTAACATGGACATTATTGACTAACCGACTCACTGACGGAGTGACCGTCCAACCGACATTGTTGCTGAGTAACTTTTTTTTAGCTGAGAGATAGTGTAAAACTCGACATGGAATTCGACGCGGCAGAAGTCAAAAAAATAATTTAAATTTGAAAAATTCCTGGCTACGCCACTGCATCTCACAGACTCTGCTCTTGATTGGCCGAGATCTCGTCACCATGGTATACTAATATTGTCAGTGCGACAACGTATATACCGCGCCCCAACGCAAGGGCGGATCCAGAGCACAATTTGGGGGGGGGGCCAAAAAAATGTTGGTCCCCCCAAAAAGTGGGTCAAAAAAATTACGGCGTGGGGTTCGGGGGCAATTTCTGACCACTTTAACCAATGTTTTTTTTGACGAAAAGATGGTGGTGTACTCATTGCCTGCCTTTATTGCGATGTCACATAAACAAAAAAAATGGTTTTGTTGGGGGGGGGGCATGGCCCCCTTTGGCTCCCCCCGGATCCGCCCTTGCCCAACGCACATTGGGGAGCGAATGCAGAGCTCGAGCGCTTTTTTTGCCGCTGACCGATATAGCGCAGCGTGATTTTCCGCATGGCGGAAGGCGGGCCGGTGCCTCATTTTATTTTATTTTATTTACGAACCAAAATATGCATTTCTGTTTTATTTTTGTATTCTTCTACTATAATTTCAGATTTAAAGTTTTTTCCCCAGCACACACAGGTCGTCAGGCCGACCATAATAGTGCATGTACATGTACGCACGCACGGTAATTGTTCGACAAAAATAAAACCTACATAAGAAACGCAAACCAATTCACAATAACTCGTCAACCCCATAATAATTTGGGTTTGATCATCAGAAAGACTTTTATCAAATAAGCGATTCGTTATGAAACTAATCGATTGCTTTAACTCGTGACACAGTAAAAATGGCCTCCCTCGGTGATCAGTGGAACGTTCTATTTTCTCTCTGCGTCATTTCGGCAAACCAGAGCACTCCATGGATCACCTCGGGAGGCTAGTTTCACGGCACAATAATTAAAGGAGCAGTCAGTATTTCTATACTATTTTGTCCAGAATTATCCAGATGGGTGCCCATTTTATTTGGATTGTTTTCATGGTAACATCCGGTTGGTTGAGGGACAGTCAAGCTGGTAAGTAATATTTCATTTATCTTTTTGAGGACTATTTTAGCCAAGAATTGTTTTCAAAAGAATTAAGAGGCTAATCAAATTAATGGGGGAGTTTTGACTACTGATGAAAAAGGTCGAGAACGCTCGTCTTTTTTCTTTAATGTATCAATACGGAAAACACATCAGATCAATTTTCTTGAGAGACTGTATGGATGGGCGTCACAGGGTTTTTACGAAAGGGTACTTTGTGTATACACTCACAAAATGAGGAACAATAGTACCCTACAAATCCGTCGTCGTTCGACCCAGCCCGACAAGGGAAATTCTAAAGAAGAGAGGTGGGAGAGAACAATGCAAGTATCCCATGCAAGTATCCCATTGCGTTCCATGGAAACGCAAAAATAGAACATGATCGAACTGTTATCTCCTTGATGGTATTGCGCATGTCTTTTTTACCCATGTTCATGTGCCTAGAATAACTACTGCAGTATGAACTCAAAAATGGTATAATATGGCAGGTAATGCACCTTGTACTTTTATTTTGTTTTAAATAGATTTTTGTAACCCTTCATCAGTTTCGACTTACGATTGCGTCTTTCCAAACGGATTTGTGAAAGAGGCTGCTCGCTTTGGTAAGTGTGTGTACATGTGATGTAAATGCACCTATACCGAATATCGAAAAATACTAAAAAGATATGCGGTACGCTCCAATTTTAATAAAAATAAATAGGAATAAATTAAGTCCATGTTATTAACGATAGTAACTGTCACGTAATTTGTGTACTCTATTTTCACAAGTTATTGCTAATTTTAAATTTAATGGAAATACCACAAAAATGTAGCTGTCCACCACTGAGCATTCACCGATACGCATTGATGAATACTATACGATGAAAGAAAACTTGCAAAGCAAAACAGACAATAATCACCATTTTCATTCTCAGAAATAGGACTTGATTTATGTACAACACAAAATCAGACGGTGAAAGTAATGTTTCAGTCTTGACTCTCATTAAATCTCATTTGAATTTGAATTCCTGTGTGTAATATCTGGTTCCCACCCAGATGAATAGCTTTAAAAAATCTAGCATTCCATGGACAGCTGTAGAAATTTGTTCTTTTGCATAAGTTCTGATAGCAAAGATCAATTTCAGTAACGTTTTTAACAGATGAGTGAAAGAACGTGCTCGCTTAATACGTGCTTCATTTGTGTATCAAATTTGAATGCTTTTAAGGGTAAAATAATTAATCCCTGTCACTTTCTTTATTACTCATCCTGTACTTCTAGCCACTCCACGACTCTGCCTATAGCGTCGCTGATTTAAATACCCTTATTCCTTTAATAACTTACTCTCTAAAACTCAGGATATTCTACCAATATGCATAACACAGAAAGGTTGCCCTCTTTCGAGTGTATCGGATCCTGTTTTGGGGAAAAATCGCGGGCGAGGGTATCAAAAGAGGAGGTGGATCACCCCAAGCACCCCCATCCGCCACTGAATTGGACCTTATACCCCTTCTATCTCAACAATGTTTAATTACTTCTTACAACGTCACTAAAATTCAAAATGTTGGTTGATGGCAACTCAGCCACCTAACCCCTTCAAAAGGAAAGCAATGGATCCCAAGTGTTGACAACGCGACAGTACATTTACAAGAATTAACCAAATAAAAGGGATCATTACTTTTTTTTGTTAGATTCCTTTGCGGTTCAATTCTCAATCTCTGTTACCTTTGTTTTCTCTGTTATGTAGATTCATGCAACCGAACCAATACGTGTCTCAACCCATTATTGCCTACTGTGGCAACCGGGGAATGCAACGGCGTAACGACACAGATATGCTCAGTGGGTAGGTAGGCTAAATTATAGACCTGATCTTATGATGTCACATTTTCAGTGGCATTTTTTAGCCATTGGTTCAATGCATTTAACCCATACCTATGCACTCAATGTGAACCGGCGCAGGCACTCGTTATTGTCGTTGTAATGAAGACGCAGTCATTGTGACGTCATGGAAATCAGGTCTATTGATTGGATTATATGGGTGTCGCATTATACTGGGAAAGTCCCATAGTAAAATCCATTGATCTCCATTAGATCAAAATGTTATGTCCATCTACTCTTAGATGGCAATCTCTAAGTGAAAGACGAGATTTTCACTTAACTACTCTAGTGTATAAGAGTTAAACATCCAAATTGCCTCCTCAACTTTGTGACTGTTTTCATTTTGTTTCTAGTACCCACTCATACAATACCAGGTCTGTTTCTCAAGGTAATCTAGTTCCTTCGTTATCCAAATCTAACTCAGGAAAACGTCAATTTGCGTCTTGTGGAGTTCATTCTTTCAATAACCTCCCTGCGACACTTAAACATCCATTGCCTCCCACTCTTGCCAGTTTTAAGCGCCTCTACACGAACCTGGTAGTTTAATGTTATATGGTACATGTATGTCTTGTTTTTGTCTTTTTACTGCCAATGTAGCAACTGTGATTAACCGTGTCTCATCTTACTGTTTATTTCTCTTCTTAATTATATCTTTTAATGTATTTATTGCTTGTTTGTCTATTTTATACTATTGTATGTTTGTTATAACTGCTGAGCACCTTTGAATAACAGTGTTCCACTGAAAGGTCTCCAAGGATAAACAATAAATAAATAAATAAATAAATAATAAATAAATAAATTGCTCTCCATTTAATGAAGATCAATGGTAATATAACTTTGCACAGTGCAAAGGCTTTAGGGATATTTTTCCAGAGACACAGTTACCCATACGTATTTCAATAGATAACATATCAAGATGGCAGACACTAGCCACTAGTGTGCCCCCTCCTACGTTATAATAACATACAAACACAAAATGGACAGCTTTGTGTTTGTCTTGTAAAAAAACACGAACTGTGTCATTGGTTTATACGCATTTTACATATTATAGGTCATGGCTTTTAAAGGGAATGTACATCATTGCCATTTGCTTTAATTTTCAGAAATGAACTATTTGAGGGGTTAGTATCAGTGTTGGAGCAAAGGCTTTGACCCTCAAGGCCAAGGCCAAGGCCAAGGCTTTGACCCTCAAGGCCAAGGCCAAGGCCAAGGCTTTGACCCTCAAGCCTCGAGGCCAAGGCCAAGGCTTAACCCTCAAGGCCAAGGCCAAGGCCAAGGCCCTGTTTTATGAAATGACCACTGATATAGAACTAATTATAGTCACATGAGTGACACGTCATCACGCAAGGGCGGATCTAGAACACAATTTTTTGGGGGGACAAAGAAATTTTGGTCCCCCCCAAAAAAGTGGGTCAAAAAATTACGGCTTGGGCTTCGGGGCCCGCCTAAGGGCCCCGAAAAAAAAATTGGATTCGAGATATGCTCTGTGGTGCGATTTGAGGCAATTTCTGACCATTTTTACCGATGTTTTTTTGAGGAAAAGATGGTGGTGTACTCATTGCCTGCCTTTATTACGACGTCACATTAAAAAAAACGGTTTCGTGTTTGGTTTTTTTTGGGGGGGGGCAATGGCCCCTTTTGGCCCCCCCTGGATCCGCCCTTATCATCACAAATTGCTCGTTACGAAGAACAACATTTCTTTAATTGCAATCAACATGCTCGCATAGGCCTACACCGTTTTATGACTGCACTGTATCTATTAAAGTATAAGTTCAGGTCTTCAATATGGTTTAACTAGACAACATAATGATTTACTTCTATATTGACACACAATTCTCCCAATTGTATCAAAAGGGGGATCCGAGAAACTGATTTGGGAATTTTTTTGTTTGCTGGCCCAACATGGTCAGAAATATCAGCATTATCTAAAACAGATACATGCAAATCTTAAGCACTTATCAGGGAGACATATACAACCAATTAGATCTTTTCCATAGTTATATGCGCCTTGAGCGTCTTTTTTAGACGGATTTTGGCACTATATAAATGTTCTCTATTATTATTATTATATGCAATTAAAGTGATCATCTCATTAGCCCCACAAGTGTACGGAATATTTTTGCAGCAAATCAACTACAATGGTAACAAAATGTGATGCTACAAAAGTGGAAGTGTGCCCAACACACAAATCTATAGGGTGCTTCCCTCCTCCATGGTAATACGATTAAAACGGTAACAGCAAAATTTCGAACAGATTTATCTGGAAAATGCAAAAATCTATGGGCCTTGAAGAGCCTTGACTCAAAATTGCAAGGCCCTGAACCCTCAAGGCCAAGGCCAAGGCCAAGGCTTTTGCCCTCAAGCCTCGAGGCCAAGGCCAAGGCCCTCAAATCCAGCCTTAAGGCAGCCTTAAGGCCAAGGCCCAGCATCAAGGCACTACATCACTGGTTAGTATATATATCAAATTATTGTTACACTGACATGTTTGAAGTTTTGTGTTGGAAAATGCTGGAAAAACTGAGAAAAACAAAAATGTTCGAGTAGTCTGGTTCCCTGACTCCACTGAAGATTAATTGGATTAATTTATAGATGCCGGAAAATTGTACGATAAGGGAACCAGTCTAGCTGGCCTGCACCCATTCAGAACATGCAACCAATAGCAAACAAAATTTGGACTGAAAAAAAATGGTACATTTGGAGCAGTAGTTGAAATATAGTTAGGTTTTTCCAACGGTGGTCGGCCGACCACCGTTGGAAATGTATACCAAATTACCATTTTCTTGAAAGTGACTTCATACCAGGTGCCATAATTTTACAGGATGCTTTAGACTGTCATTTACCAACATCCTGTTGTGTATTTCGTAAAAACTTGGTAGTTTAATTTTTCGATGTTTGCAAATGTATTTTCCCTTTAAGCTGAAATGTATTACCTATACTTGTTACCTTTAACAACGTTAAATTTTAAACATGTGTTTGCCGATTTAAAGATGTCCCTTTTTAACGAACAAACTTCATTTTAGAAATTGCCAACTAAATCTCAGTGATTTTTTTCTTCATTATTGGTCATATTTTATACCTCGTTTTAAATAGTCCGAGTGCCAAATGATCCACCGCTGAAAGACGTTTGTTCAAGTTCTCCCTGCACAAACGGCGGAAAATGCATATCTCAACGAGAGGGCGTCCTGTGCTGTTACTGTAACCCAGCAATGCCTCTGGATTCCGGCCAGGCTTGTTATGGTACGTAGGCGTACACGTTGCTAATGGTTCACCAGCTATCATGGGCGTCGCGAGGGGGGGGCAAGGGGGGGGGCACTTGCCCCCCCCTGGAAAAGCAAAAAAAAAAAAAAAAAAAAAGGAAGGGAAAAAAAAAAAAAAAAAAGAAAAGAAAAAGAAGCATGAAGACAAAGTGGTGTAAATTTAATGAGTTGGGGGGGGGGGGGGGGGGGTGAAATGTCCCTGCCCCCCTCTAAATCTGATAAATCGAGAATTTGTTAAAAAATACAAGCATTTTTTGGCAAAATTTTTTTTTTGCCCCCCTCTAGAAAAAATCCTGGAGACGCCCATGCCAGCTATAATAGTAAGATACATGTAATTATGACATTTGGTTTTTTTTATCACAAAAATCTAAACAGTATTTTACCGTCATTAAAAATGGCCCGTTAGTTTAACATTTCTTTCATAGGAACTGATCAGAAAGACAATACAAAGGAGTGGTGACTCTCGGACTCGCTTGAATATAATTTTTTTTTAAATACAGGGTGAGTAAAAAACACCTGCAATAATGCCAAGAAGCCATCTTTTGAACTTTGAACTTTTGTAACCTTGTAAGAATGGCATTCGTTATAGTAGCCATTGCGTGACAAAAAAAGACATCCTCAAAACAGGACATTTTTTGGCAAGACCTGCACTTGAATCACTAGACATGTGACGAGTAGTCCAAAGGGAGTATCCTTGATATGCTCTACCAATGCCTTGAACTTGTTAGACACAGGAGATATCGGACAGAAACGTAGAGGACTGTTAACCGCTTTGACACTTTCGTACGTGAATTTTTGATACTTAGACCCTGCGATAATAGATGTCTCGTCCAGAACACCCTGTGCTGCAGATGACGGTGCACCACCAACGATAGATAATTGCAACGATGTGAGGACGAATAAAGATGTAGTGAGCGATATCATCTCAGACCTTGACGTCACAGCTACCGATAACGTTATGAACTCCTTGCCCATACATTGCGTAGAGACTAGTGGTGCATTACATCTTACAAGCAACGAGGCCACTTTCAATTGCACAGCAACTGATACGGCTGGAGGAGAGACTACCTGTACATTCAACGTTGTCTTTGGTACGTTTTAAAAGAACATTTTACAAAAATCACTGACAACCGCTTCACTTAATTAGTATCCATCAATTAAATTAATTACCATTGTACTTGATAATAAAAAGGAGCGGGACACTTTATCTTTTTTCTCTTTCCTTTTTTTATTCAACAATAACGAAAACAATCAAGATCAACAAGCACCTGTGATCGACAATTGTCCTTCGAATATAAGGACCAATAACGCTATGGTAACCTGGACACCAGATCCTACAGCTACTGACGATGATGGGACCACTCCTGAAGTAATCTGCTTTCCAGCTGCTGGTAGTACATTTCCAGTCGATGAGACAACAAATGTTGTTTGTAACGCGAGTGATGCTGCTGGAAATGAGGCCATCTGCACTTTTAATGTAACTGTAGGTAGGTGTATCAATTCACTATTGTACTTGATGTATCTTTTGTCGTTTTCTTTGACATCGCAATTTAATGGCAAACTTCCTTCTTATATTGAACAATTATTATTTCAGATCAACAAGCACCTGTGATCGACAATTGTCCTTCGAATGTAAGGACCAACAACGCTGTGGTAACCTGGACACCAAATCCTACAGCAACTGACAATTATGGGACCACTCCAGAAGTAATCTGCTTTCCAGCTGCTGGTAGTTCATTTCCAGTCGATGAAACCACAATTGTTGTTTGTAACGCGAGTGATGCTGCTGGAAATGAGGCCATCTGCACTTTTAATGTAACTGTAGGTAGGTGTATCAATTCACTATTGTACTTGATGTATCTTTTGTCGTTTTCTTCGACATCGCAATTTAATGGCAAACTTCCTTCTTTTATTGAACAATTATTATTTCAGATCAACAAGCACCTGTGATCGACAATTGTCCTTCGAATGTAAGGACCAACAACGCTGTGGTAACCTGGACACCAAATCCTACAGCAACTGACAATGATGGGACCACACCTGCAGTATCCTGTATTCCAGCCGCTGGTAGTTCATTTCCAGTCGATGAGACAAGAAATGTTGTTTGTAACGCGAGTGATGCTGCTGGAAATGAGGCCATCTGCACTTTTAATGTAACTGTAGGTAGGTGTATCAATTCACTGTTGTACTTGATGTATCTTTTGTCGTTTTCTTCGACATCGCAATTTAATAGCAAACATCCTTCTTATATTGAACAATTTTTATTTCAGATCAACAAGCACCTGTGATCGACAATTGTCCTTCGAATGTCAGGACCAACAACGCTATGGTAACCTGGACACCAGATCCTTCAGCTACTGACGATGATGGGACCACTCCAGAAGTAATCTGCTTTCCAGCTGCTGGTAGTTCATTTCCAGTCGATGAGACAAGAAATGTTGTTTGTAACGCGAGTGATGCTGCTGGAAATGAGGCCATCTGCACTTTTTATGTAACTGTAGGTAGGTGTATCAATTCACTTTTGTACTTGATGTATCTTTTGTCGTTTTCTTCGACATCGCAATTTAATAGCAAACATCCTTCTTATATTGAACAATTTTTATTTCAGATCAACAAGCACCTGTGATCGACAATTGTCCTTCGAATGTAAGGACCAACAACGCTATGGTAACCTGGACACCAGATCCTACAGCTACTGACGATGATGGGACAACTCCTGAAGTAACCTGCTTTCCAGCTGCTGGTAGTTCATTTCCAGTCGATGAGACAAGAAATGTTGTTTGTAACGCGAGTGATGCTGCTGGAAATGAGGCCATCTGCACTTTTAATGTAACTGTAGGTAGGTGTATAAATTCACTTTTGTACTTGATGTATCTTTTGTCGTTTTCTGCGACATCGCAATTTAATAGCAAAATCCTTCTTATATTGAACAATTTTTATTTCAGATCAACAAGCACCTGTGATCGACAATTGTCCTTCGAATGTAAGGACCAACAACGCTATTGTAACCTGGACACCAGATCCTACAGCTACTGACGATGATGGGACCACTCCAGAAGTAAATTGCTTTCCAGCCGCTGGTAGTTCATTTCCAGTCGATGAGACAAGAAATGTTGTTTGTAACGCGAGTGATGCTGCTGGAAATGAGGCCATCTGCACTTTTAATGTAACTGTAGGTAGGTGTATCAATTCACTATTGTACTTGATGTATCTTTTGTCGTTTTCTTCAACATCGCAATTTCATGGCAAACATCCTTCTGATATTGAACAATTATTATTTCAGATCAACAAGCACCTGTGATCGACAATTGTCCTTCGAATATAAGGACCAACAACGCTGTGGTAACCTGGACACCAGATCCTACAGCTACTGACGATGATGGGACCACTCCAGAAGTAATCTGCTTTCCAGCCGCTGGTAGTTCATTTCCAGTCGGTGAGACAACAAATGTCTTTTGTAACGCGAGTGATGCTGCTGGAAATGAGGCCATCTGCACTTTTAATGTAACTATAGGTAGGTGTATCAATTCACAATTGTACTTGATGTATCTTTTGTCGTTTTCTTCGACATCGCAATTTAATAGCAAACATGCTTCTTAGATTGAACAATTTTTATTTCAGATCAACAAGCACCTGTGATCGACAATTGTCCTTCGAATGTAAGGACCAACAACGCTATGGTAACCTGGACACCAGATCCTACAGCTACTGACGATGATGGGACCACTCCAGAAGTAAATTGCTTTCCAGCCGCTGGTAGTTCATTTCCAGTCGATGAGACAAGAAATGTTGTTTGTAACGCGAGTGATGCTGCTGGAAATGAGGCCATCTGCACTTTTAATGTAACTGTAGGTAGGTGTATCAATTCACTATTGTACTTGATGTATCTTTTGTCGTTTTCTTCAACATCGCAATTTCATGGCAAACATCCTTCTGATATTGAACAATTATTATTTCAGATCAACAAGCACCTGTGATCGACAATTGTCCTTCGAATATAAGGACCAACAACGCTGTGGTAACCTGGACACCAGATCCTACAGCTACTGACGATGATGGGACCACTCCAGAAGTAATCTGCTTTCCAGCCGCTGGTAGTTCATTTCCAGTCGGTGAGACAACAAATGTCTTTTGTAACGCGAGTGATGCTGCTGGAAATGAGGCCATCTGCACTTTTAATGTAACTATAGGTAGGTGTATCAATTCACAATTGTACTTGATGTATCTTTTGTCGTTTTCTTCGACATCGCAATTTAATGGCAAACATCCTTCTTATATTGAACAATTATTATTTCAGATCAACAAGCACCTGTGATCGACAATTGTCCTTCGAATGTAAGGACCAACAACGCTATGGTAACCTGGACACCAGATCCTACAGCTACTGACGATGATGGGACCACTCCTGAAGTAACCTGCTTTCCAGCCGCTGGTAGTTCATTTCCAGTCGATGAGACAAGAAATGTTGTTTGTAACGCGAGTGATGCTGCTGGAAATGAGGCCATCTGCACTTTTAATGTAACTGTAGGTAGGTGTATCAATTCACTATTGTACTTGATGTATCTTTTGTCGTTTTCTTGGACATCGCAATTTAATGGCAAACTTCCTTCTTATATTGAACAATTATTATTTCAGATCAACAAGCACCTGTGATCGACAATTGTCCTTCGAATGTAAGGACCAACAACGCTGTGGTAACCTGGACACCAAATCCTACAGCAACTGACAATGATGGGACCACACCTGCAGTATCCTGTATTCCAGCCGCTGGTAGTTCATTTCCAGTCGATGAGACAAGAAATGTTGTTTGTAACGCGAGTGATGCTGCTGGAAATGAGGCCATCTGCACTTTTAATGTAACTGTAGGTAGGTGTATCAATTCACTTTTGTACTTGATGTATCTTTTGTCGTTTTCTTCGACATCGCAATTTAATAGCAAACATCCTTCTTATATTGAACAATTTTTATTTCAGATCAACAAGCACCTGTGATCGACAATTGTCCTTCGAATGTCAGGACCAACAACGCTATGGTAACCTGGACACCAGATCCTTCAGCTACTGACGATGATGGGACCACTCCAGAAGTAATCTGCTTTCCAGCTGCTGGTAGTTCATTTCCAGTCGATGAGACAAGAAATGTTGTTTGTAACGCGAGTGATGCTGCTGGAAATGAGGCCATCTGCACTTTTAATGTAACTGTAGGTAGGTGTATCAATTCACTATTGTACTTGATGTATCTTTTGTCGTTTTCTTCGACATCGCAATTTCATGGCAAACATCCTTCTTATATGTAACAATTTTTATTTCAGATCAACAAGCACCTGTGATCGACAATTGTCCTTCGAATGTAAGGACCAACAACGCTATGGTAACCTGGACACCAGATCCTACAGCTACTGACGATGATGGGACAACTCCTGAAGTAACCTGCTTTCCAGCTGCTGGTAGTTCATTTCCAGTCGATGAGACAACAAATGTTGTTTGTAACGCGAGTGATGCTGCTGGAAATGAGGCCATCTGCACATTTAATGTAACTGTAGGTAGGTGTATAAATTCACTTTTGTACTTGATGTATCTTTTGTCGTTTTCTTCGACATCGCAATTTAATAGCAAAATCCTTCTTATATTGAACAATTTTTATTTCAGATCAACAAGCACCTGTGATCGACAATTGTCCTTCGAATGTAAGGACCAACAACGCTATGGTAACCTGGACACCAGATCCTACAGCTACTGACGATGATGGGACAACTCCAGAAGTTATCTGCTTTCCAGTTGCTGGTAGTTCATTTCCAGTCGATGGGACAATAAATGTTGTTTGTAACGCGAGTGATGCTGCTGGAAATGAGGCCTTCTGCACTTTTAATGTAACTGAAGGTAGGTGTATCAATTCCTTTTTGTACTTGATGTATCTTTTGTCGTTTTCTTCGACATCGCAATTTAATGGCAAACTTCCTTCATATATTGAACAATTATTATTTCAGATCAACAAGCACCTGTGATCGACAATTGTCCTTCGAATGTCAGGACCAACAACGCTATGGTAACCTGGAAACCAGATCCTACAGCTACTGACGATGATGGGACCACTCCAGAAGTAAATTGCTTTCCAGCCGCTGGTAGTTCATTTCCAGTCGACGAGACAAGAAATGTTGTTTGTAACGCGAGTGATGCTGCTGGAAATGAGGCCATCTGCACTTTTAATGTAACTGTAGGTAGGTGTATCAATTCACTATTGTACTTGATGTATCTTTTGTCGTTTTCTTCGACATCGCAATTTAATAGCAAACATGCTTCTTAGATTGAACAATTTTTATTTCAGATCAACAAGCACCTGTGATCGACAATTGTCCTTCGAATGTTAGGACCAACAACGCTATGGTAACCTGGACACCAGATCCTACAGCTACTGACGATGATGGGACAACTCCAGAAGTAAATTGCTTTCCAGCCGCTGGTAGTTCATTTCCAGTCGATGAGACAAGAAATGTTGTTTGTAACGCGAGTGATGCTGCTGGAAATGAGGCCATCTGCACTTTTAATGTAACTGTAGGTAGGTGTATCAATTCACTTTTGTACTTGATGTATCTTTTGTCGTTTTCTTCGACATCGCAATTTAATAGCAAAATCCTTCTTATATTGAACAATTTTTATTTCAGATCAACAAGCACCTGTGATCGACAATTGTCCTTCGAATGTAAGGACCAACAACGCTATGGTAACCTGGACACCAGATCCTACAGCTACTGACGATGATGGGACAACTCCAGAAGTTATCTGCTTTCCAGTTGCTGGTAGTTCATTTCCAGTCGATGGACAATAAATGTTGTTTGTTTCGCGAGTGATGCTGCTGGAAATGAGGCCTTCTGCACTTTTAATGTAACTGAAGGTAGGTGTATCAATTCACTTTTGTACTTGATGTATCTTTTGTCGTTTTCTTCGACATCGCAATTTAATGGCAAACTTCCTTCATATATTGAACAATTATTATTTCAGATCAACAAGCACCTGTGATCGACAATTGTCCTTCGAATGTCAGGACCAACAACGCTATGGTAACCTGGAAACCAGATCCTACAGCTACTGACGATGATGGGACCACTCCAGAAGTAAATTGCTTTCCAGCCGCTGGTAGTTCATTTCCAGTCGACGAGACAAGAAATGTTGTTTGTAACGCGAGTGATGCTGCTGGAAATGAGGCCATCTGCACTTTTAATGTAACTGTAGGTAGGTGTATCAATTCACTATTGTACTTGATGTATCTTTTGTCGTTTTCTTCGACATCGCAATTTAATAGCAAACATGTCTCTTAGATTGAACAATTTTTATTTCAGATCAACAAGCACCTGTGATCGACAATTGTCCTTCGAATATAAGGACCAACAACGCTATGGTAACCTGGACACCAGATCGTACAGCTACTGACGATGATGGGACCACTCCAGAAGTAATCTGCTTTCCAGCCGCTGGTAGTTCATTTCCAGTCGGTGAGACAACAAATGTCTTTTGTAACGCGAGTGATGCTGCTGGAAATGAGGCCATCTGCACTTTTAATGTAACTATAGGTAGGTGTATCAATTCACTTTTGTACTTGATGTATCTTTTGTCGTTTTCTTCAACATCGCAATTTCATGGCAAACATCCTTCTTATATTGAACAATTATTATTTCAGATCAACAAGCACCTGTGATCGACAATTGTCCTTCGAATGTAAGGACCAACAACGCTATGGTAACCTGGACACCAGATCCTACAGCTACTGACGATGATGGGACCACTCCTGAAGTAATCTGCTTTCCAGCCGCTGGTAGTTCATTTCCAGTCGATGAGACAACATATGTTGTTTGTAACGCGAGTGATGCTGCTGGAAATGAGGCCATCTGCACTTTTAATGTAACTATAGGTAGGTGTATCAATTCACTATTGTACTTGATGTATCTTTTGTCGTTTTCTTCGACATCGCAATTTCATGGCAAACATCCTTCTTATATTGAACAATTATTATTTCAGATCAACAAGCACCTGTGATCGACAATTGTCCTTCGAATATAAGGACCAACAACGCTGTGGTAACCTGGACACCAGATCCTACAGCTACTGACGATGATGGGACCACTCCAGAAGTAATCTGCTTTCCAGCCGCTGGTAGTTCATTTCCAGTCGGTGAGACTACAAATGTCTTTTGTAACGCGAGTGATGCTGCTGGAAATGAGGCCATCTGCACTTTTAATGTAACTATAGGTAGGTGTATCAATTCACTATTGTACTTGATGTATCTTTTGTCGTTTTCTTCGACATCGCAATTTAATGGCAAACATCCTTCTTATATTGAACAATTATTATTTCAGATCAACAAGCACCTGTGATCGACAATTGTCCTTCGAATGTAAGGACCAACAACGCTGTGGTAACCTGGACACCAGATCCTACAGCTACTGACGATGATGGGACCACTCCAGAAGTAATCTGCTTTCCAGCCGCTGGTAGTTCATTTCCAGTCGATGCAACTACAATTGTTGTTTGTAACGCGATTGATGCTGCTGGAAATGAGGCCATCTGCACTTTTAATGTTATTATAGGTAGGTGTATCAATTCACTATTGTAGGTAGGTGTATCTTTTGTCGTTTTCTTCGACATCGCAATTTAATGGCAAACTTCCTTCTTTATTGAACAATTATTATTTCAGATCAACAAGCACCTGTGATCGACAATTGTCCTTCGAATATCAGGACCAACAACGCTATGGTAACCTGGACATCAGATCCTTCAGCTACTGACGATGATGAGACCACTCCAGAAGTAATCTGCTTTCCAGCCGCTGGGAGTTTATTTCCAGTCGATGAGACAACAAATGTTGTTTGTAACGCGAGTGATGCTGCTGGAAATGAGGCCTTCTGCACTTTTAATGTAACTGTAGGTACGTGTATCAATTCACTATTGTACTTGATGTATCTTTTGTCGTTTTCTTCGACATCGCAATTTAATGGCAAACTTCCTTCTTATATTGAACAATTATTATTTCAGATCAACAAGCACCTGTGATCGACAATTGTCCTTCGAATGTCAGGACCAACAACGCTATGGTAACCTGGAAACCAGATCCTACAGCTACTGACAATGATGGGACCACACCTGCAGTATCCTGCATTCCAGCCGCTGGTAGTTCATTTCCAGTCGATGAAACCACAATTGTTGTTTGTAACGCGATTGATGCTGCTGGAAATGAGGCCATTTGCACTTTTAATGTAACTGTAGGTAGGTGTATCATTTCACTATTGTACTTGATGTATCTTTTGTCGTTTTCTTCGACATCGCAATTTAATGGCAAACTTCCTTCTTATATTGAACAATTATTATTTCAGATCAACAAGCACCTGTAATCGACAATTGTCCTTCGAATGTAAGGACCATCAACGCTATGGTAACCTGGACAACAGATCCTACAGCTACTGACGATGATGGGACCACACCTGCAGTATCCTGCATTCCAGCCGCTGGCAGTTCATTTCCAGTCGATGCAACTACAATTGTTGTTTGTAACGCGATTGATGCTGCTGGAAATGAGGCCATCTGCACTTTTAGTGTCGCTGTAGGTAGGTGTATAATTTCAAGCATTACCTTATTGAACTTTATGCATCGTTTGTAGCATTGATTGACATTTTTATGGAACACTTATAATGTTACTATGGGAAGGTCTAATAAACTCTTACTTTTGTACTTTAAGAAACACTTTCTTTTTTAGTTTTAAGCGACATAACAATTAAAATCTAAGTTTCCCTTCTTTATTGAACAATTATTATTTCAGATCAACAAGCACCTGTGATCGACAATTGTCCTTCGAATGTAAGGACAAACAACGCTATGGTAACCTGGACACCAGATCCTACAGCTACTGACGATGATGGGACCACTCCTGAAGTAACCTGCTTTCCAGCTGCTGGTAGTTCATTTCCAGTCGATGAGACAACAAATGTTGTTTGTAACACGAGTGATGCTGCCGGAAATGAGGCGGAGTGCATCTTTACTGTAACGGTCGGTAAGTTGTTGTTCAAAAATTAATCTGATTAAAACATAGTTCTGTTAGTATTCTTCTTCGACCTGCTGATTTTCTTTCCGTTTTGTTATACAGATCCCAAAGTTGTTGTTGCTTCCATGGCGATAAATGAAACTAATGGAACAGATGTTCCATTCATCGAAGCTTATAACAACATCACAAGTCCAGAGTCGCGAACGTTGTGCCTGCCTGTTGAAACGGCCGTAAATATTCGATTTTCTGTGTTTTGTGATATTGTATTTGATGATATGGGCTAATGGCCGTATTTTTGAAAGTTGAAGACTGTATCTTTTCAATATGTTACTTACGTTCAACCTAAGGTTCACAGCTTTACTTCAACACCTTCCGTTGACTGTTGACGTGAGTTGTATTGTCCGATGGTTGAGTATAAATTAACCGAACACACAATGATATTACATTGTCTATATCAACAGATGTTGAAAGCTTTAAGCCCCGAGCTTGCTTCAATTGTGACGGCCAAGTGTAAAGCCATCTACCAAGGCAGCATTATCGTGGACGTGCGCCTGGGTTTCAGTCCTGAAGCTAATAATAGCGCGCCTCTAGGTAGCGATGTGCAGGGGGTTCTACAAAACGTCATCACAGAAGGCACGTTTGGAGCCGGTGGGGGTATTACCTATACCATCAATCCAGAATCAGTAATCGCACAATGTGAGCACCATAAAAACATTCATCAGCCTAGCTTACCGTTATGTATGGTATGAATTTTAAATATCCCCATGCATGTATTTTCTGGGATTTAAGCCAAAGTACAAATATAGGTTTTCCCGGCCAATTTCCTCAAATGTTCATTCTTTTCTGAAAATCGATCATTCGTTTTCGTCTGAATTTGAATGCACGTCTTTAATCCCATTCCAATTTAACGAAATTGTGCATTTTCCCCTGACATTATTGATTATTGTACATGTGAACTCATATTTTTCATATCATTTCATATATTTTAAGTGTTTGAAACCTTTTGAAAATACCTCGACAAAAAATGAATACATAAGTTGGATGAACTGCGAACAATTAGTATGACAAGGTGAAGGAACCACGTGGAACCAGTTAACCACTTAAGCCTTTAATTGCTTTTGAATAATACCCTTCATTAATAATTATCACCTTGATTTTTCATCGAAAGATTTTGTCTCCGTATTTCAGTGTGATTCACGGAAATAGCACACTATACCTCAATGGGATTCATGCATTAGGACGAGGCCCAGTGATCGTCTTTTTTTGTTCTGTTAAATACAGCGGAGTCGATCACGTGCCCTACCGACTATTGCCAAAATGGCGGGGAATGTCTGCGGGAAGGAGCAGTGCCAAGGGTCCAGTTCTCCTGCAAGTAGGTTCTTATTTGATTGCTTCTTCAGCAGTGACAATCACAGTGATAGCAATGGCAATGACAGTCATGAAAGCTTACGGCAACGAAAATAGAGGTTGTTTTTCTTAGGCCGATTTATTTTCGATAGTCTTCTTGGGTGTGTGTTTTTATAACACATGTGCAACTTCTGGCAACTTTAATTTCAAAAACCTTCTTCAACTTGTCATTGGTGCATTAGTGTTGTATGCATGTACTTAAACTAACACGATTCTACCACGGCCCTCGCACATGTTCATTGTGTTAAAAAGGCATATCATGTTTTGCAGTATGACGTCAAAAACGTTTCTATTGTTTTCTTACTAAAGATGTTCTGCTGGATTCACCGGTGATGTTTGCCAGACATCAATAAAAGGTACTTTTTTTTAAATAAAAAAAAAATCGTGGATGACATTCCAAAAACCTGGCTTTCTGTCTTTTGATTTTGTTTTTAAGTATGTATGGAGTATTTAAGAGCACTGATGTTCCTCTTTGTAAAAATGTTCTTTTACAATACAATAATTAATAGGCCAGAGACATACTGTACAACGGCCAAATAAATGTTTTGTACATGGATTTACGTATGTTGGTGGTCACCACATCATGAAAAATATAATAATTAAATACGCATAATACACCAACATCAAAGTAAAATAGGAAAAGTTAACAGATGATCAGGAAATCCAACAGGTTTTTAATTTTCATTTCGAATATTTAATTTTTTTTGGGATCAAATTTAAACACCACTTACTTAGCTAATCAACATTTTGCAAATGAACCTAAACACGTCCTTACAATGGAAGGTAGTAAACAAAAAATCCATTGAAACAAACATAATTCGCTTTGAAAGTTATTTGGTCCCGTGTTCAAAAATCTTACAGCAAAGTTCTCTGTTTTCGTCGTAGGTACTCCCCTTGCCGCCATTCTGATCCCGGTAATAGTTCTCGTCTGCCTACTTGTGATAATTGGGGTCTGCACGATGGCAAAAGCTGGGTACAGACACTCGAAGCAACCCGCGGCACCCCCAGAACTAAACCTGATGGAGTATGACACAGGGGAGCGTCTATACCGCCCATATCACGGCAGGCCTACTCACGAGTCACGGTTCTCTCATCTCGGCGGACGACTGGTGGTCAATCATCTCGCTTACATCAATCGACAGGAGAATTTTTAAGCGCGCCGTGTTCCCATCCAGACAATTGTTCTCTTATGCTATGTCGTAGGAGAGATTGGTAGAATCCGCTGTATTATTGGCAGAGGGTTTGAGGTTTGCCGATGGCCACAGAGAAATGTAGGGTCTATATGTTTGTATATACCCAAACTAAGGTACCACTTACAATACCCAATTTCTTTCTCCTATTAACTTTATTGTTAAAAACACATTTACGGTTAACCCAAAAGGTTACCAGATTTCAAAAGAGATTCTTTAAAAATCATGAAATCAGGAAACATCTTGAAAAATCACACCCCTGTGATGTAAATATGGAAGAAAGAGACAGGGAAAGTGCGGCGTTTTTTTTTTTTGGCCAAAAAAAAAAGTCTCCGGTTTCTGGTATGCGCGCGCGTCGCCGTAGCCATGCGCGTCGGCAAAATGAAAAAGTTTTTTTTTTCAATACAAGATGATGTCTCAAAACCGCCAAACTCACTGGTTTGACTGGAATCCTGCTGCTGCACAATTTTAACGTGTTTTTAGATGGGGTTATGATCGAGAATAAGCTTTATGTGGCCTCTCTGGACTCCCATAAGTTTAGTCGGGCACCATTTGCAGTCATCAGCCGACATTTGAAGCCAAAAAACAGGTAAAAAAAAAAAAAAAAAAGCCGCGTCGCCGCACCACTTGTGGGGCAAGCTCCATACCAGAAACCGGAGACTTTTTTTTGGCCTTAAGTATGAATTTTTGGGTTTTGGGATCGCTGCGTGAAAGATATCTCGTTATCTCGAATGTTCTTAAATTTGGATTGTGGTAATAGATCTACCGAAGGTTCACTTAAACGGGGCGTTATTGGATATGCACTAATACTGCCTTTTTATAAATTTTACGCTGAAACTGTATATCGCTTTATTAGGATAAGTGAACTTTTATAGGAGAGATTGATCTTCCATTCCTTTTTATGGATTTATTTCATTATAATGAAACCAATAACAAAGCTTCTATTAAAATCATGCACGGCAAAGCAACTTTTGCTCACCTTTATTTTAACTTTTGTTTAACGTTGAAATCACCAACTGCAGGCTAAACGCCTGCCATAGAAATATTGAATTATAATTTTGCCGTCATTTGAGGTTCAATAGCTTAAAAAAGTTCCGACTGCTTTTGGCCGGGAACACATACATATTTTCTCAATTCATGTTTGTTTATATTGACTCCATTTTTTTTCTCGGAATAACGATGTAAAATTATAACGATGAATATATATCGAGCCATTAAAATATGTCCCATCGAGCGCTTAAAATGTGTCACATTAATATGTAGGCCACGATTTTATCATTTCTACGTAATATACTAATGACCATGAAATGTACAAATGGGAAAATGTATTATTTTCATATTTTGTGTAAATGTTTTAAGCATACTTTTACGTTAACATGTTTTACATTTATTTGTTTTTGTTCTTGGGCCCATGTAGTTTACTGAAATTTATATAGTAATTGTATTACTTCTACATCTGGTGATTTGATGTTCTTGTGATTTTAATGTATTGTCAATCATTTTGAATATTTTTATATAAAATTTGCGCTTAAAATTACGAATTCCCAATTAGGGAGACACTTTTTGCTTTGCTTTTTTCTATGAGGGCGAAGCACCTGATTAGGGCGACAATTTGGTGTTTCCTATTGTTTTAACTACCATTTGGAGAAGGAATTTTACCGCCACAAATAGGCTAGATCGATTGCTCGTGGTCCAAAACATAAATATACCGGAATTCGTGGAGTAAGATAAGGTAAAATTGGGGTTAGGTGACATTAAAGATGGAAAAATGTTGTGCACAAGTCTATGGAAGTGTCGCCCTTTTACAGCATTAGTAGTGATTATATTCTCATTGATAAAACTGTATTTTAGTATACAGTAATTGGGTGGGTGTTCTTAAATAGTAAAGTTGATATTAGTCACGTACTTGGAAATAAACTGATAAGAGTTATATTTTGGAGAAATAAACCAGAGTCTATATAGTAAATGTTTTGCATCTGAACCCAGTGGCGTATCCAGGAATTTTTCGGGGGGGGGGGGTCATGTGTAGATAAATGATAATTTTTTTAGAAACTCAAAATCTCAGTGGGGGGGGGGGGGGGGGGCAAGGTTTCATGGGGGGGGGGGCTGTCCAATCCAAATCCAATCCAATCCAAGAGGCTGTTGTGTTTGCTTTACTGCTTCAGTTCAAGTTATGATTCTTTTTGCAGTTTCTCTATTATTTATTTCATGCGACATAATAAATGCATAAATACACAAATTAAAAGTAATAGTTTAAAGAGTGTTGTGAATGGCGGCTACCATACAAAAGCTACTACGGAGCCGGGGTCCAGGTTCTTCGTTTTTCAAACAGTTCTGAATGTTATTTTTTTACACTTTCTGTAAACCAGACCCCATCAATAATATAAATCCGATGACGTTAAAAGCATCTTCCATCCAGTACAGTAGGGAATGGAAAAACACCGTATTATGCATGATGCAATCCATGCTCCAACATAGGAAAAAATCCCGAAGTAATCGCATTGCATTGCGCAAGCATTTGTTTGGGGTCAAAGGCCGGGGAATCCCCTTAGCTGGTTCCGCTCCATTCATTCCGCGTGCGCATACAAAAACAAATCTGACGGCAGGGAACCAGCTGAGAAGAAAATCACGAGGCCGATAAAGTGAGATGAACAGATACGTACTAGTACTACTACGTAGTTCGTTTGCAAATTGCGTCCGTGAAATGCCTGTCTTACTGTTCACATTTGTCTACATTATGAATTTAAGAATGAGGAATTGCTTTAGAACGTCAATATTTTCGCTGCAGTGAACTTCATGTGGCCTGCACAGGGTCAGCGTACCGATCCACAAGCTTGGCTCCAGTCTGCGCGCTACGTGCGGATTTGATCACCGTGCGTGACCCGTATCTATAATACTTGAACCGTTGCAAACGTCACGACTAGGAAGGGTATTGACCATGGCATACATGGCAATCGAGCGTGAATGCTTGTCTTTGATCATTTTTGGTGAGTAGCATTGTATTCCACAAGTAGTTCTTTGAAAATAATTCGAATATGCATCATGAAAGAAAATGTGGCAATATTATGCATGCATGGTTGTATTGCTGATGTACCCTAATTAAAGTGGCGCGGCCCCCAACGTGGCGCACTTTGATTTTTCGCCTGTAGCGCCTACCAGTTTTAATTGAAATTTTACAGAAAGTGAAATTTCATCAAGTTCTAAACACCCCTGTTCATAAATCGCGAGTTTATTTACCCGTTAGCTCTACTGAGTGGAGCGTTGAATAACGGGTACCCCTCCATACCAACGCTCCACCGATTTGCCATACTTTGGTGACACGGTCACAGTAGCATAGTCACAAACCCACGCGAGGACAAAAAGACCCCCCCAAAAACGGTAAAGAGAATACAAATGAGAGAGACAGTTATCCTGGATTGATCTATACATTCTTGACATTCCATGAGACCCCTTATATTGTTCCCAAACAGCGAAAAATTTGAAAAAAAAAATTTCGTTACGTGTTTTCTCTGCGCTTCATGTTACGATTTTGATTTCGTTTTATGGAGGCCAATCAAAGAGCTTAGATGATGTAACACAGTGGCTTCGCAGGTGCTGTACTTTTGGATATACACGTATAAGCATTTAAACTTCGGAGGTCATACTCATTAGCCAACAGTTCGTTGACCCGCATCTCACAAAGTTACGAGCCAGATTACACACCAACAACACATTCAGTTTGGGGAGTTTCTTCTAAAGGCCAATTATATTACATAATCTGTGAGGGTCGGGTGAACAAAATCGTGTTGAATTGACATGGAATGACCAAGCTGTCCTGCTATAATTTAATTTGCAGTCGCATTTTGTCTGAGTCAAGTCCTGCCGCCCGGCAAGCACACCTATCTACAGTTTGGAGAAAGCGAAGAAGTAGAGTGCCCTCTGATCACAGATGAGAACTTCAGCATCAGAGATGTCAACTCAGCGTATTGGTACAAAGACGTTGTAGCCACAGAGAACCTAGTCATTTCCAATTTTGAGGGAACTATCTATGAAGGCCCGAGCATTGTCAGCGGCAAGTATTTCCTGACTGAGCGATTATCCCTAGTTATTAACAACATCACAGCATCTGACGAAGGGCAGTTCTTCTGTCAGCTGAAAACTGGACGTCCTGGTTTCCAAACTGCACCCGTAGATGTAACAGTTTTTGGTGAGTAAAAAAAAAAGTTTGACAACTGTGTGTTTTCACTAATACGGATGCCTCACAAAGACGATAAGACCATGAATATGTTGGCCAATTGGCTCATAAACCTATCGTTTCTTTTTAAAAGAAAAAAAAAACAAGCTTACTGGAAATCGAACTAGATTGTCGACAATTTTCAATCAACAAAGAAATATGATGAACCGCAAACAACGTTGTCCATGAAGGATTTCTCTGCAGAGGAAAAGGAACCTGATGTGTTAAATTGGGTCATTTGCTGGGGGGGGGGGGGAGGAGGGTGCAGAGAGTAGGGTGGGGGGGGGGGGGGGGCAGAGAGAAAGGAACTCTGTCTCCCCATCCTCCACCCGCTCATGTGCACCACTTGCTTAGCAACCGTACCTCTTTACTCTACAAATACGGGTCAAGCACAGAGATGGAACATAATGATAACTGTTAGAGGATGTCAGATTTCAGTCCAGAGCTTGCTGGATATATGCATGATATGGAAACTTTAATAACATTTTGTCATCGACAGTACCACCCAATGGACCTTCTCCAGAGGTTGAGGAGTGTCGCCTGACAGACAGCAAAGATGGCTGCCTGATAGAACTCCACCCTAAAGAGGCAACTTACCACCTGACATGTCATGTGATCAATGCCAGACCTGCTGTCAAACTGCGGTGGCTGCGTGTTTTCAACGACGGATCCACTGAAGAAGTGACAAACATCACATACCAAGTCAACGGAACGCTTCAAAATGTGTCTCAAATCCAAGGTATTTTGGTTGGTTCATTGTGGAATTTCAAATAAAGGCATTAGGTCAATATTTCTGTGGCACTCTGTGACAGGACAGGACACCATTTATGCGAACTGTTCCATCTGAGCCCTCCCTGTAATGTTTGGACCAATCATAGCCATGGCCAAAATGTCCGACAAGTCTGACAAGACCTATAGTCACCTACAAGACTACCGATTGGAACATGCAATATGTCATTTGGATGTGCACCATCTGTTAGCTATGTGTGCAGTTAATGTGGTTTTATGCATTGGTCTATAAGTACAGGCAGGCAATTAACACGAACATCTACATGTACATGTACATGTACATGTAAATTGTACTGTAACACAGTGCAACAGTATACAGTTACTAAACTCACAGAATTTAATGCGGTGAACACAATGTGACATTTGATGAAAATCACAAATCACTGGGCAAAGTCCTGCTAAGCTCCCAAGATGACCCAAAAGATAAACATGGAGGCAGATACTTATGTTTCACCAACTTTTACGTTTGACCTCAGTTAGGAAACTCTGAAAACGTTGGTGTATTTTCGTTCATCCACAGAGAACTATTTGTCTTCCACCTTTGCAACTGTGACAGAGGTTTATCACGAGGAGACAACACTGCATTGCCAAGCAACCGGCATTGCAATGGGAGACAGGAACGGAGCCTTCGGAAAGTGCACATTACAAGATTGGATATACCCACAAGTAGTAGGTTTCATTTCATTTATATTGATTATCCCATTCATTATCCCATTGAATTATTTGGTAGTACCAAAACCAAAATCAAACAGAAAGAAGATTTAATCGTTTTGGATGAAATACTAAGTTAACCGTGGCAGGTTTTTATTGTTTTTATTGATTTAATTATTTTGGCAAATACAAATAAACATACAGTGCCACATAAAAATGAACGTATTACATGAAAAATACAAAGCCAAGGATAACCCTAAAAGCTGTTTATAACACGGCTTATTTCCATCAGGGCCCGTAAAAACACACACACACAAAAACATACAATTACATTATAAAAAGTTCAATAAAATTACACAGGAAATAACAAAGAATGATCATTCATTAAAAACTCAGCCGCTTAGAAAAATGACCGAGAAGAGAGATGTTGCTTCACTGCCCTTTTAAATTGAGGATGATTGTTGGAACATTTGATGTTGTTGGGAAGTAAATTCCATTCATGAATTCCGGTATAAACTTTTTTTAGTGCACTCTTGCCCTTTTATTCTTGGAACAAGAAAATTGGTGGTACTTAGTTAAATTGTGTTTAGGCAAAAAAAAAAAAATAAGTCGGTCTCTGGTCAGCGCACCCGTCGATTTTAATCATGCGCGTTGATCTTTTTTTTTCCAAAATGTTCCACGGTAGCTCCAACAGCGCCCTCTATTTCCGCACCTCCTTAATTTTTTTTACCAAAGAGCACCAAGGAATGGGAAATTGCACCAAGGCAAATGATCGAAAGCACCAAGGCAAATTATGGAGGACACCAATGTACATGAGGACACCAAACAGAGACCAGAGTCTGACCAGAGACCGAATTTTTTTTTTTTTGGCCTTATGTACGATTAAGGTATTCCGGGGTGTTATATGAAGTTTGGTTTAAATAGAAGTTTTGTGCAGATATCAAAGTCTCTTGATTGCACAATTGGAAGATGCTGATTGTAAAATGCGAGCATCCCAAGATTTTGCGTTAGACAGAGAAATGACCATGTCAATGTGTGAATTCACTAATAGCAGCATTGTACGGTATACTGAGATAAATTATGCACATTACTTTTGTCTGTAGGAATACACCTGTTGATTGCAATGATTGTCTGTTGCTATCATAGGCTATTCAACACAGCCACAGGTGTCAACAGATTCTTCAAAGTCAGATGGAGTAAATGGCATATTGATCGCCCTTTGCATCATCATCAGCATTTTGATTGTGGTGATAGTTGCTGGGATAATCTTGGTCTGCAAGGTTAGTGATGTCATCAATTAAAACCGATTTTTATAATGTCAATGAGACTAGATCTACTTTCATTACCTAATAACTCCCTCGGGTGTGTGAAATTGGGACATTCAGTGTTGTTAGGGTTAACTAAATAGATATAAATGTCAGAGATGTAATTTTTCCCCCATTTCACACTGCACCACAGAAAAGATCGACAAGAAATTCGACATACAACACAGTAAGGATGACTGATGTAAACAATGCTGACTTGGAAAGAGGTGAGATATTGTAATGGTAAAGTAACTGAGTATATCAGCACCACAACTGAATAGGGTATTAAATACTCAAACTTCTGGAACTCACTTTGCAGCAACACCATCGGATTTTGATTGGAAATTGTGACCCTGTGGATGAACCGCGCAATTAAGGACGATTCAGGAAGGACCAACTTGATAATAGTTTGTGTTGATACAGAAATATGATGTGTGTGAGATCGAGTTGTTTCAATGGCAGATGTTTATCCCGATTGACTTTTGTTTTTGTAGTCTGCATTGTCAAGGACTGAAAAAGAGCCCCTGTATACCCACATGAATATTAAAGAAAAATTTCATGAGGGTAAAGAGAACAGAAAAAAAATCAGTTGTTGATGTCATGAAATTCACACCCTTACGAAAGAATTTATACTGGTCTCAAACCACAACTCATATTTGTATCTGCTTTATTTTTATTTCTTAAAGGTGATGAAACTCTGAGGAGTTGTGCTGACCAGCTCAAGACGTACTACAAAGGAATGCTTAACACAATTCGCACTCATCCAGTTTTTGCTCGTTGCATCAATAAAATCAAAGATGTGTTCATCGATCTGCAACTCTTAAGAGAGACTGGCAAAACTGTGAAGTCTGAAAAGATGGTTAGGATTAAAGGAAGACGGGGATTCTACCCAGATAACCCGGTCAAGGAACCACTGGACTCCCAAGATGATCTCATACGCCTCTTGCATGAGGAGGGTCATGTGGCTTTGGTGGGAACAGCAGGAAGTGGTAAGACGACACTCACCAGAAAGATTGCCTGCGATTGGGCATGTCAGATGGCAGGTTCCGTCTTGTCACGCTTCAAACTTGTGGTTGTACTTGGGATGCGAGAAATCCAAGTCAGTCAGTCCTCGGGACTTTTGGATGCCATTCAGAGAATTCTGCCTAAAGAGACTGAATTATCCCGAGCAAATCTTCGAGACCTTATCACTAACAACCAGAAGGACACATTGATTGTACTAGATGGCTTGGATGAGGTGTCGTCGCAGGTGCTGAATAGTCCACCACCAAATGATGATGATTTCTCAATCAAAGATGTGATTTCGTTCAAGGCGCTCAGGGACTGCCGTGTCCTCGTAACCACCCGTCCTCACAAGATGAACGAGCTTGACAGCACCTACGCTGTTGTTGAAACGATCGGTTTCTCACCTGCAAACAGGGACAAGTACATTGGGCAGTTCTTTTCCGACAAGGTTGAGAAGGGTCAAGCACTCATACAAGAGGTCCAGTCAACTGCGTTCATTCACACCCTGGCCCAGTCTCCCATCATGTTGCTTCTCCTCTGTGTCATATGGAACCGTGATGATACCCTGCCCCAACAACTTACCAAGTTGTATGAACGAGCTGTGGACATACTAGTGAGTCATTTCCTGGAGAAATACGAAAATGTCTCACAAGAAGAGGTGAATGCAGTCAAAGATGAAGTTGGTCGAGTTGCATTTGAAGGCTTGATTGATCTGGATGGAGAAAGGTTAGTCTTTCAACCAGATGAGTTTGGCAACTCCCTGGAAGGTGGATTGAAAATTGGGATTCTGTATCAGGAGTCAAAAGCAGTTTGCACACAACTTGTAGAGATGGTCAACTTCCTGCACAAATCGTTTCAGGAGTTCTTCGCAGCCCATTACCTAGCAACACAGGCCACTGAGAAGATACAGAACGAGTTGTTGCCACAGGTAACCGTTGAAAGCATACAGGAGAAAGAATATCTTCTCCGGTTCTGCTGCGGAATGAACGTCAATGCTGCTGCTACGATTCTCCAACATGTCAATGGTCTTCATGAAGAGTTGCAGACACAAGAGTTCTTGTGGATACAGAATTTCACACTGGTCCTGGTTTTCGAAGCACAGTCACCTAATCTCCTGGCAGGTGTTGGGTCCCGTCTGACACTGAAATACAAAGAAGACTTCCCAGCAATGGAATACTACCTGCAGAGGTTCTCTGATCCAGTTCAGCTAGAAAGACTCAATATCCACCTGACACTAATTACTGACCAATCCATCGCCAGGAAGATCTTAGAAGGAGTCACTGTGGACTCACTTTATTTCCACATGGAACTGTCAGATCAGCTGAAAGATCAGTTGTCAGATCTCACGACAACTATCTCCGAGATGCAACGGCGAGCTAAGGTCACGAGGCTTTATGTAACTTCCAGCAAACAGTGTGATGGGAAATCTAATACAGGGGAGTCTGGAGAGGAAATGGTCCTCGAGAACCAAGTCAATCATCTGTGTGACTTCATCAGACAGCAGCCAGAGCTGAGTGGGTTCGGTATCGGCCTGGATGGTAAGATCCTGCAATCTCGTAAAGACTTCACAGTGCTTGTCGATGCCCTCGCCGCAAGCAACGCGACGTACTTGTGTATTGAAAACAGTAGCTTGCATGGGTATCTGCACAGGCGTTCACCACTCTTTGAGAGTCTAACTTCCATGGTGTTCCGTTGCTGTGGTCTGACTGATGATGACTTGAATGAGGTATCAACATCGCTTGCTTCAAGTCCTAGTAAACTCACGTGTCTCTACTTGCAAGAAGGTTCATTCAGTCACGATGCAGTGAACACACTCGTGCAGACTATCGCAGAGCACAAAACCATGGATCTGGAGAAGCTCTACCTGGTTGGCATGGGTCTACATGCAACAGCTGTCACACAGATTGTACAAAGGTACCTTCCAAAGATGAGAGAATCCAAAACAGGTTTCTTCATCAAATAAGAATCAGGTTATGTACATAATGTACTAGATTTGTAGCAATGAAAGTGTGTTCCTTTGAATATGTAACATATTCTAATCGTCGTCACGAGGAAAAGGAAACGACGTCAAAAATAATATGATGCCCATCATTTGGAAGGTGAGGCTTCTGGTTATGACAGCAAAGTACGAACTGGCTGGAGTTGAAGATGTGGTCTTACCAGAAGGCAGAGGATTCTGGGGAGGAACCGGGCTGTCTCATAGGTGGGTGACCAGGTTCTCTCCTGAAGACGATCAAAGCTGCTGATCGGAACGTTGAGTTTCACAACCAACTGGTTGTTTTCAGAACCACACATCTTCTCAAAAGAGATACTACCACATGGTGTTACCGCACACCCTCAGTAGGGTCAGTTTGTACCACCACCACTCAATGTTTCAAATCTAATTTATGTATATACTAATCAAGATTAATCCTATAGAAACAATATAGATTGGCAGTACAACATGAGGATGTGAGCTCAATATGTGCTAAATATAAAAATATGAATTCATATACCTCTAGAATAACCTCAGATTTTGGATGTAATTAATTTCTTAAGGGTGTTGTATATAACCAAGTTTGGTTTTCCTATGCCAGTAACATCTCAATGCAATTCAGTTTTTATTAGGTTGCCAGGGTTTACAAGTTGTAATGTTTATGTTTTGTACAAGTTAATATATTGTTTTTGACAATACTTTGTGTGTGTATTTATTTTTTACTTGAATGAGTGCAACTGTTTGTCTTGCGTCTTTTCGTGACAGTAAGCACTAACACTGCTATATGCATTTTGTGTTACCAATAGTACTGTTTTAACTGTCGGGATTCTTCAGTACATCATCATCTTTGTCAGGCAAATTCGTTAAATATCTTAACGTAATTGGCCATGCCAATTAGAACAACTTGAAGCTGTAGGCCTATAAAGATAATATATTTGGAGAACTACCAAATGTGCAAAAACAGTACAAGACCAAAAAGTGGAGAGCTTAAAGTATATTGTATAGAGTCGTTTTAGTTCAATTAGTTCGGGTACAATGTTACAATAATATATACGTCTGTGTAAAGTAGTTATATGCTATGAATGTGCTGTATAAAATACGATAGTGTGTGCATGTATGTTTAGGGTATACAAGAATATATAACAATGATAATTAATAATTTTTTTGTTGACTGCTGTGATGTGCGATATGATGTTTTATAAAAACGACAAATCCCACATCACAGCAGTCAACAAGTGTTTTGTACGGTGCCAATAAGTCAAAAAGATAAAAGTTTGTAACTTGCTGTGTGAGAAATAAATTAAATCACTGTGATGTAACCGTTGGTAACTGAAGGCTTTGATGTCCTGCTGGGGCCCGGTTTCATGGCTCTGCTAACAACAGAATTAGCGCTTACGATCACCATTTTTTCGCAAGAAACAAACAAACAAAAAAGAGGTAGTAGAAAAATGTTGCGCTAACCCAGTAAGCACAGAACTCTTAGTTCAGGGATGTAAGAAGCCACAATTCCTCGCTAAGCCGTGAAATACGCTTACCGTGTACGACCTCTAAGACCATCGATCCGGCATTTCAACACCGTTGATTTTTAATAAAAACCGCTCTCTTGTTTCGCGCAAGGTAATGATGTTATCACGGTTAATTAAAGATTGTGTCGATATTTGTGGCTTAAAAATACATTATATCATTTGAAACCGGCTCCCATGCACAAAACCCTGACAAAATTAAACACATTTTGTTGTTTTTTAGGTTTGGAAAATTTCAAATTTCTGAAACAAAATGGCAATGCTTTGAATGATGGGTAATTGAAGCAGGTGTCATTTGAAAGTAATTCCCAAGAGCAAAGAGGAGGTTGAGTGAGTTCATGCCGACTTGCTATTGGGAGCTAAAGGGCATGCTCCCGGAAAAGTTTTGAAATCTACGATGCTTTCTCTTGCTTTCTATGGCAATTTGAGAATATATTTAGGAATTTCAGCCTTCCGCCATTTCAGCCATTTCACAACATTAATAAGGGGTTGAACAGGAGGGGGTGTAACCCCCCAAACCCTTCTATAAATCTGCCACAAGCTTCTTACTGTACTGTATGGTCCCTTGGTCATGTTATTGCCTAACGTGCAAACTGAGATGAAATTAATCAGGAATAGTCTTTTGGATATAGGTGTGCAGAGTATTGATTATACGCCGCTTTCAACTTTCAAGGGCAGTTTAAGGCAAATTCTGTCAATATGCAAGCCCCTGATCAAATTGATATTGAGAAAGGCCCGTATCAAATCGATTGGGTTTCCTAAGGTGGAATAACAGTGAAGACGAAATTAGAATGACACCTGAAATATGTACAGAATAAAGAAGTCCACAGGGATCTCATCCAATTGGGAAACATGAATGCGTACGCGGCCCCGCCTCTTTTGGTAAATTCGTTTAATCCGTATGCACGCCATTATGGTGTTGGTAAGTGATAAGGTAAGATAACACTAGCACAACAGTCATAGCTCGAAGATTCTTTCCGTCTCACCATAGTGTTTTCTTCGTACTCGTGTGTCTATAATATCGAGCACCATGGAGTGGCTGATGGCGTCTCTAATTGCTGGGTCAGTGATGACCGTGCTTGCAGGTAATTAAAATTATGTATTTTATCATCCATTAAGTCTTTAGAAGGAAGAAAATTCTCGCTATTAAAAAAAATATTGTGGTACAGCGCTAAAATACGATATCAATCCCGCGGAAATTTGTTTTAATAACGTGGACGTCAAAAAATAAATCCAATGGTTAACTGACTTCGTCATTCAACCGAAGTACTCGGTTGCATATAATTTGCAAAATATTTTTTTGGGCATTAGATACGCATAACGTCATCCTCAGCAGTATTATACAACGTAAGTTAATTTTGCATTTCCAATTCAGCGTTGGTTTCATCACAAGACGTTTGCATTGTGGGTTCAATGATTGGCATCGTGCCTGGTGGTCTGCCTCACTGGTTCCTACCGCATGACGATCCATGTAAATGCACAGCCATACGTCTTGGCGGAATGACCTTACAACCTCCGTCATATCAACGGGGGTCTCCCTATAACCTGACAAGTCTCATCTTGAGCGAAGATGTCAATGCTATCCGAGCATTTTTCAAATGTAGAGGTGGGTGAGGATCACAAATAGAAATTGACTGATTCTTTAAGTGTTTCCTTCTATAATCTAAATGAAATTAATTGGGATAAAAGTGCCTAGAGTTTTGGAGTGAAAGGCATGTTGGGTGACATTCCTTCGCTCATACCCACAACCTCGTTTCCAGGGTGTCGAGCAATACGCTCCCACCACTACCTGCTCTCTCACCCCTCTACTTGATCATTTACATATCCAAAATGCTTGGATACGTATGCAAATGAGGAATAGTATAGTGGCAGCCTGTGCTTTACATCAGTTTGTTTTTGTATGTGGTGTCTGGGGTCATCAATTTATCGCGGCGTGAGTTCAAAACTATACATTTTTTTATTCAAAGTTGATTTATAATGTAATCCAGCCATGCCAATATGCAGAATAGCTGGGCTGATTGCCGACATGACGCGTGCGCATGGTGAGGGATGATACGCGGTGACAGCCGTTACCAACTTTCCTTCATTAACCATTCAGTGGGATCTTGCATAAACGAGCTGGTTATTAATACCTTGTTGAAATGGGTTGATAAAAGAGGAAAATGTGGCTCCGGTTGTACTTATTCCAAATGTCATACTTAACGCCACAATGCACGATCCTGTTCCAAACATGGGAAACGAATGATCCTAAAATCGATCCCACATTTTGTACGAATCATGTGCATGATTTGTTGCAGCATCAACTACTAGTGATATAGCACGTTGTGAGAGTCCTGTACCGTTGGGTCTGGAAGATGGCAGCATTCTGAATTCACAGATCACTGCTTCGAGTCAAGTATCGGAGCATCATGGGCCATCCCACGCACGTCTGAATAACGGCAATGGTTACTGGACTCCTCTCACGTAAGCAGTAAAATGACGGTACCTTTACGGTTTATTTTTACCCTAAGGCCCGTCTTATGTCAACAACTGTTTAATTAGTTACTTTTTGGGCAACTCTCGGTCTTAATTTAATCAAGAATAATAATCGCGATTAATTTTGTACGATCATTTTTTCCCACTTAGAAATGCTGGTTCCTGGATTGAGGTGAATCTTGCTGAGAATGCAATGGTGACCGGCGTCATCATACAAGGTTCCCCGTTTGACGACGGTGCGTTTGTGACCGCCTGTAAGATTGGGTACCGAGCATCCACCTCGCCGACGTCTGATTACCAGTATGTGAACGCTGCGAATGGAGAACCCATGGTATATGGTTTTAGTGATAAGCTTATCTTTATATTGCTTTTAAATGAAATGTTGCTAGGCATAGGTGAGCTGACATAACATGAACAAGCACCAACTTGAAGGTTATTTGCTGAAGATCCAATTTGATTGGGTCGTCATTTTTTGACGTCTTTCTTTAAAAACCCGTAAGCCGTATACGTGACTTTTATTTGTGAGTATCATTTTCAAACACAGAAAACTCTCAAAGACTTTTAAATTTGTTCAATTAAACAATTTGCACGTTTTGATAGATGATTAGTTTTCATAATTCGTCATTTTAAATGAAATCAAATATTGGCAACTAAATATTTGTTTCTACAGATGTTTCAAAGTCAAACTACCGACGCTAAGGCTGCCGTAACTGTGGCTTTTCCTGAGACCATCGAAGCGACCGTTATCCGCATCGAGCCTCTCGCTTGGCATATTGGGGTTGGCCTCCGATTTGAGCTACTGGGATGTTATAATTGATTAATTTCCTGTTGTACACTTGTCGTACACTTCTGCACCAATTCTATTGACACCATTGATTAATACTCCAAGCCTACTGCGATACCGGAGATTCTTCAGGATACACAGCGATCTTTTTTTTTAAAACTTAACCGAAACAGCTTCGGGTAAATATTCCTTTCCCGGACTTTCGCGGTCCTGAAGACTGCAATAAAATTGTTGTTTCAGCTAAAGTCGGCCTTCAGGTCGACCAACCAAAAAATACCCGCAATGTTCCCGATTGAGGATCGAAAGACACAATCCCATCGTTTAAAGTAAATCACACAAAGATGCAAACATTATTATTGTGGTCTGGGTATACCAAATAATGTATAGCGTAACTGAAGGCGTACTTTCCCCCGCTCGAGGACTGTGTGTGTTTACTTGTATGCCACCATCAGAATTTCGGTAAAGGCAAAAACAGAACTGTTTCCAAATCTTTCCGAAAAAAATTACGCCCCACAAAACACAAAACTCCATTTAATTTTTACTGTATTTATGCAACTGGTGTTTTCATTCATTCATTGAAGTTTCACTGCCAACGTTACCTCACAATGTTTTCAAGTGACGCATGACAAAGACTGCATGCATTACAAATCTTTTGCAAAAACGCACAAGTTTCTCACTATTTTAATTCAAATTCATTACAATTTTTGTATGTTAAGTTAACTTAGTAGCATTACTTTCTCTATTTTCCCCTCTAACTTATGGTTTCACTGACAAGTCTTGCGCTGTATATTGCACCTGACGGCTGCATGAGGGAAAAAAATCAATTATCGCTGCAACTTGTTATGTGATGTCATTTCGTATGTTTCATAATTATTGTAAAATTAATGTTCGCACTTTGAATGTTATTACTCAGTTAGACCCATATTATAGGGGCGCAAATATAGCACCAGAGGCAAAGCCAAGGGTTATGTGCCCCAAAGGGGTTAAACACGTCAACTGTTTTGTTATATCGTGATAAGATAAATGGTTGTAATTTATTGTGTGGGAAATAAATTAAATCATTGCGATGTAGCCTTTGATAACTGACGGTTTTATTGTCTGAGACTGAGCGGTTAACGTTGCCATTCTTATTGCGCAAAGCTAGCGCGCCCACAGGTTGCACATGCGCGCGCAACGCGCACAGTGAACGCAGTGGGATATCACCTTCACTATCAGAGTCTGACATGCATTTTTATTGTTCGGACACGTGGCCGACCTAGACCAATAAAATTACATTATCAAAGCACACAATATAAATATAAACTATTTATTACATAGTGAAGACAAAAAGGTATAGATAAGCAAAAGGTATGGGTTTTGTAACTGTAAAGTATCGTTTTTGTATCGGTAAAGTAACAATTTGCAGATCCCTCTTATCAATTCTTCATACATTTTCGTGTGCAATTGTTGAGGAGTGTTGTGACATTTCCGTATGAATCTCTTTGAGAGTTATAACTACATGTGTAGCTAACTGTAATGAATTTTGGTCTATCGATATGGAGTACTTTTTTGCCTTTCCTAATATTGTAAATGTATCATGAATGTACATGTATCGAATAAAAATTTTTTATGCACTGAAAAGAAACTGAAATGGCCCATAAAGTGAATATTTCTTAGCAACATACCTTGTGCTACTGTAAATCCTCTTAAGTGTATAAAAACTAACTGACATCCCTTTTTTGGTTAAATTTATATAAAAAAAGTGCACTTCTTTCAAATTTTCCATGTTTTTCCGGACAACTGAGGGCGCTGTTACTGTGATGTCATTCCAGGGAGACGCTGCTCATGATATGATCTGCCTGATAACAACATCACACTATTGCTCATGAATATGGAAATTCGCATCAGCATAAAAACGATAAAGCCACCAAAATACCCTTGAAAACGGCAGAATGAAAATGGCATTAAACAATTACTTTTCATGGGCCCTTTGAGAATAAACCTTTGTAACGTTATTTAGTCCTTTACGGTGTATTTTTTTAATGGACAAGTGACATCAACTACAGAGTCCAGGAGAAGAAATACAATTGAAGTATTCCACCTGAAGTGCAAGAAAACAATGTTGTCGTAAGATGTTATGTTTGACCCCACTTAGTACCCCCTTCTGAGAGTGATGGCCCGTAGCTGCCCCTTTCACAAAAAATAAACCCAACGAAAACACTCTGATCAAAACCGAATACAACAAAGGATGTCAGATACAGCAGAACAGGCCACGTTGGAACCCTCCTCACTCAGAATCAGTTCCAACAAAACAATAAGTGCCTTCTACAGCTTTCAAATATTCCTCATCAGTATTTTGAATAGGTGGATGACCATTGTCTCAGTGACTCAAGGGGGCGCTGTTTAAATTCAAATTTTCCTCATGGGTATTTTGAATGGGTGGATGACCATTGTCTGACCCAAGGGGGCGCTGTTTAAATCAAAATATCCGTCATGAGTATTTTGAATGGGTGGATTTAGCCGAATTAAAGTCATCAGGGGGTCGTCAGGGAACCTAACTATGCGGATGGGAGTGCCTTGTTGGACACAAGGGGCGCTGTTTTAATTTAAATATCCCACATGAGTATTTCTGACACAAGAGGGCGCTGTTTACATTCAAATATCATTCATGAGTATTTTGAATGGGTGAATGACGATTGTCTACAAGGGGGCGCTGTTTAAATTCAAATACCTTTCACGAGAAATTTGAACGGGTGGATGACCATTGCCTAACACAAGGGGGCGCTGCATGTTCAATGCAGACATAGCTGGTTACCAGTCCTAAAAAAAAATACTTATTCTGATGAATCTAAAGTCAGGTAGACGGGGAGGATTCCTCCCTAGCAACGAAAGGCCGAGGGGAGTACCATGCTTGTTATATAGGGTATAGTCTTAAACATCTTGCATTCATTAAAATGAACTGAGCTGCATATTTGTAAGCCTCGGATAAAGGAAGTTTAAAATGTCCAGTATCTTTCTTGTAATGGGGACGGAGGGTTACCCGACTTTCGGCCGAATTAAAGACGTCAGGGGATAGCCAGGTCAGTGAACCATACTATGCGGGTGGGAGTGCTGGACTTTGTCGGACACTTTCGTTTAATACTAATAATCTTTTCTCTTCACAAATACACATTCTCTATACCTTTGAGTGGCTGAAATATCATTCTAGCGGTGCAATTACAAGCATTGTTTAAAAGAAGAAGAGGAACAAAATTGTTTGACACTCACCCAAAAACAAACTTGTGCCTGTGATCCACTTCGTCGTTTGTTCCTAGCGCGTGCCATCAGAACCTTAGGGGTAAAGAGCGCCACCACGCTGTCACTTTCGGTCAATCCATCACTGTAAAAACGCCTACGTTGCCTACACATCACATGGGGAAAAAAGCGGGAAGATTATTTAATTGCAAACGTAGAACGCAGAAACAAAAGCGTGTACACTGTAAAAAAAAAATTGATGAGATTTATGATGAACATGGGTTCATGCCTGTTACCTTTTTGTCATCGAAATCGGTGTCCATCGACGTTCTGACCATACCCCACTTGTGGGGTGATGTTCCTTTCAAGACACATCACCCCACTATTTTAACAATAGAAAAAAAATCACCCCAGAAGAGGATCTTTAGGAATAGGGATAAAGGGAACACAATGCCATCACCCCACAATTCCGTCCGGCTGGAACGGGCGTGCCCTTAACATCAGATAAACCGTCCAATTTCATCATCCTTTTAATTCTGCAGTGGCCGAGTAACAGGTGGAATTGAAAATTTAAAGTGGTTGCATAAAAGCGGGGCCCTGTCCCTATCTAGAAACATAAACATTAAGTGCAGGTTGGCCTAACAGCAGGGCACTAAAGACGGTGAAACCAGTAGAGGGCGCTATCAGCACAAGCGACTTCGCGGGTAAAGTATCCCAAATATTAAAACAGTGCTACATTGAGGGCGCTCTGTACAATTCCGCTATTGAAATGTTGACACATCACAAGACCTCGAATTGGTCGTCCGGATTGAGGTTTTTTTTAATGAAATCCCCGTAATTCATCAATATCGATGTATTGGATGGATTCTTGCCGACTGTTCAGGGAGTTTTACTCGGATGTACTTGAAACATAACAACCTCCAGTAAAAGGGGCCTAATTACGAATGGACTTTTTCACCACGATAATCAAAGCGAGGGCAGCAGATCATTGTTTATGTAATCTCTGCCATTCATGAACGTCCGGAGCCCACAGGCAATCATTTGACTCGCTTTCAACCATCCAACATCGAGGATTAAGGTTTGATCTACCGGTGGACTTGCTTCAAAATGACAAGGTTGAGAGCGGAATACCAGTACATGTATTGTAAATAATTCATGCCGTGAAAACCTCAGAGAGACTGCGCTCCACAAGGTTGTTTTACATGCACTTAAATAACAAACACAATGCCTTTTGAATATAGCTGTCGAATATCATTCAATGATCTCCGATTACATGTTGATATCCCAGGAGTGAATACAATGACTGGCCATTAGTGGCAGTTCTAATTATTACCTAACGGATTTGATTCAAACAAGGTGATTTTACGCGCGAAGGTAAAAATGCTTCAAATTCCACATCTATGATTAATGCAATCTATTTAGAGGAAACAGCTAATTTCCCAGTTGTTTTACTTTAAAGCACTATCATTTCAGTTTTTGAGGTCAGAAATGTTCAGTCAACTTCGCGCTTGAAAGCACTCTCATCAATCGCAATGCCGCAGTTTAATTCTTCCTTCATAAATGTTTGTGTGCCGACTGATGTAGATTATTGTTATGGAACAAAATGGCGACCGAATTTATTCCAACTGATTGTTTATAAAAACAATTGCAGATTATTATCCCGCTGCACCGATTATAAACCCTAAGACGCCTTGCACGGTACCCCCTCATCGAGGGCATAGTTTGTTATACTTCCGTTACAATAAGCGTGCGGGCATACGTATCACGTGATACACAGAGCAGCCATCAGTGTGACGTCAGATGCAAAAAGTCTATTGTCTGACTTGTCCTGTGACATCATCGTACGTTAATTCTTGGTAAATTAGCTGCGCTAGGCAGTTTTCATTCTGTGGTTTATACTTATAAGTGCACTTTCCATTTAGTTTCAGTAAAGTTCACAAGTCGTTGTAAATTCCAATGTGATAAATGAACGTCTATTTAAGAGTTGTTTAGGCCCCCAAAAGTCTCCGGTTTCTGGTATGCGCGCGCGTCGCCGTAGCCATGCGCGTCGGCAAAATGAAAACGTTTTTTTTTTCAATGAAAGATGATGTCTCAAAACCGCCAAACTCACTGGTTTGACTGGAATCCTGCTGCTGCACAATTTTAACGTGTTTTTGGATGGGGTTATGATCGAGAATAAGCTTTATGTGGCCTCTGTGGACTCCCATATATTTGCACTAAGTTTAGTCGGGCACCATTTGCAGTCATCAGCCGACATTTGAAGCAAAAAAAATCAGGTAAAAAAAAAAGAAAGCCGCGTCGCCGCACCACTTTTTGGGCAAGCTCAATACCAGAAACCGAAGACTTTTTTTTTGGCCATAACTTCCATTTGCTTACAAGCCAGACACCGTCTGTTCTTTTGTCGTTGTAAGGTCAATCCGAGCCTCTAGCTTTTACATACGACTAAAAAATCCGGAGCCTTGAGTAACACGTCGCTATTGTCCAAATCTGACCCGATTTCTCTTAGCCTAAATCTCAGAGCAAACACCTTTTTTTTGGTGGAAAGAGGGACAATAACAACTCGTTGTCAACCTCACACGAAGAAATAACCTCAGTTATCCGATCCAAACTGGTTTCCAAATCTCGACAGCTTAATTAAGGCCCAGTTCTTTTGTAAATTACGCTGCTCTTTTTAAGAACTCATAAAGATTGTGATGACAAAGTACGGAAAGAAAACTAGTGGCAAATAACTCTACCATACTGAGTAGAAATTGAGTCATCTTTATTATTCATTTACATATCCGTGACAAACTGGTCCAGGTTCTTTTTATTACAACTAAAAACCATATTAGAAATATGTAATAATTTTCAAATGATCTTAACCGATTTCTCCCACTCTTTTTTTTTTTTACCGTCCACACATGCAACTGAATCAAATGAATTGTAGAAACATGGAACTCTCATTTCGTCTCAACGATGTCAAAACACAACCACATTAGGAAGGGACGTTCGTTTTGTGATTATTGCTTCATGGTGGTTACAAGTAACCAAAATACACCACATATAGTTGTTCTATCCACATAAAAGACGAAGAAACACCTGCGATCGCTAGACAGAAAATACAGATAACATGTATGTCTTTTTAGAGATGCTCCACTATTAAACATGGCAGCTAGCCTCAGAACGCCATGTTGACACAATTGGAAATCTCATCAAGTTGCTTCACCTCATCTAAGAATAGGCAGTGAATTGTGAATAATTGGCTTAGGTTTAGCAAATCTCTCTCGTGTCTTTCTTATGCGCAAACCCTCCCGTGCATGGACGTTTTGTAAAGAACTCCGTATATATTCTCATGCAAAGTTTCCTATGGTGATGGGAGGTGGGCCTTGGGAGGGGGAACTGAACTGTTTATAATCCTGAGACTAACAGTAAAAAAAGAGATCTCACCAATTTTTGCGTAGCTTAACATGCACAGTATTATTCTACTTACTTCACAGGTTTGCAACCCGATGTCTAGTTTTGAAATGAGGGTCTATTTCAAGATCGTTTATGGAAACAAATCTCCCTTGTTTTCTATGTACTAAAACGAAATAATTGTCAGCAGAGCGAAAACCTGTGTAGAAGAAGACAGACGCATTGAAGCGATACTTCATGCAACTGCTTGAGCCATTTCTTTTGTGGGGGGGGGGGGGGGGGGGGGGGGGGGGGAGAGAGAGACACGCCTTAGTTTTGTTGTAAGGCTATATACATTGTACATGTATTTAAACCGCGCGCTTATACCTTGGTAACACGGATGGGTACTGGAAAAACAGATTGTTAGACAGACTGCTTGTCACTAATTGAACTGACACTTCCATATTTGGGCTCATTCTGAGGGCACAAGAACTGTTTATAGATTGTCATAGTTTCCCAATTTGTACACGTCAGTTACTGGGGAAAAAAACACATCAGCGTTTCCCCGGCAACGGAGGTCAGTACTGGCACCGCCTAGCACAACTTACAATTAGAAAATGAGGAGGCTGCGTAGGCGAAGAAGAACGGATCTCTTAGTAAAGAAAAGAAAGCACGCGTCATTCTACTAGGAATGCCTCCAACAAAGGCTACCAGCAGGCCTGGAATGTAACAACCATCTTCTTTTCTAAAGACGTTACGTAAGTCTTAAAATAGAAGCAGGGTGGTATAAAGACCGGGTCAGCTGCCTGCACCACAGATTATATCGCCAGAGCTCAGAGGAGAAAGTGAAAGGAATTTAAGAGCGCTACTGCTACTGTGTTACACCTGGTGTGAACGTTCCCGGTGGGCACTTGCTCGGACAAACACCTGTTATACTAGAACGGAGTTTTAATCTTAGGGTTAATTTTGGAAAATAAAGGTAAGTTAATTTTATGACCGTTTGTCTCTGTGTTTGTTATTTAACGAACTGGCATCTACAATGTTGTGGAGTAGACATTATTCATGATGTCAGTATAGCCATCTTTTTAACGTTCTATGTCCGTTGTTTTGTTCGGGTGTGGCACCCTAGTGATACTTCTTATCTGCATGTGTATCACTATAGTCGGTAAAGCATCCCAGGGGAAACATCACACCAACTTAGAGAGAAAGCAATGTGAAGAAATTACAGTTGTAGAGGTGGGAGGAAAAGCCCAGAAGATATTCTGGTAAAAACCCAGGGAATCAGGTTGGGACTGAAAACCCGATCCACATATTGACCCAGGCGGGATTCGAACCCGGGTCACAGCGGTGGACGGCGAGGAAAGTACCGCTACGCCAACCTGACTCCCATGTGCCTATCTTGAAGCAAAATGATTACATGTACAAGCTTTTCAAATAAGATATCACGCCCAAAATGGTCAAACAAAGTCATTAAGCAACTTTGAACAGAAAACGTCCCTCTCCCGTATGTTTCTAAAATTCTAAGGTATACATTCCTAAAAGTTTCTCTCGAAAGATAAAATTGACTCTTTTCTTTTTAAAGACCAAATACATCGCCGAGTATATCAAGTGGTCTTTCCTGCTCAAATACTGAGTGCTTCCCATAATTCTTTAGCAGGTAAATCAGTGAATGATAGTTGACAGCGGAGCACAGAATATACCGACTTACCAACTCTAAAGTGTCTGCAGCAAAATCTATAGGACTGCATAAAATGTTACATGCCTGTAACTAGATTGAATGTGTTTTACCTTGTTCTCTACGCAACGGTATCTTCGAGTGTTACAGTGATGTCGAAATCCAACTATTCTGAATCATTTTTAAAACAAAAGATTCGAAAATGATGGCAGTTTGCTGATGCAACAAGCTCTTCTGTTTTAATAGTTGGACAGCTTCGCACCAATGTAGAAACACACACGTCCATTTGCTGTTTATTTAAGGGTAAGATGTTGTTACTAAACCTCTTTTTTCCTCAGGTATAAACGGTAAACAACGTTATGATATGATGGTTTGGTAGTATAAATACACATTAGATGTACTATTAGTAAAGAAGTACCAGAAGTGTTGGTTCTGAAAGAATTGTCTTTAACAGTGTTTCTTTAAGTACATGTAGTTCCTTCAACTAAGGCCAAAAAAAAGAAGTCTCCGGTTTCTGGTATGCGCGCGCGTCGCCGTAGCCATGCGCGTCGGCAAAACGAAAAAAAAAAATTCCATGAAAGATGATGTCTCAAAACCGCCAAACTCACTGGTTTGACTGGAATCCAGCTGCTGCACAATTTTAACGTGTTTTTAGATTGGGTTATGGTCGAGAATAAGCTTAATGTGGCCTCTTTGGACTCCCATATATTTGCACTAAGTTTAGTCGGGCACCATTTGCAGTCATCAGCCGACACTTGAAGCAAAAAAAATCAGGTAAAAAAAAAAAAAGCCGCGTCGCCGCACCACTTTTTGGGCAAGCTCCATACCAGAAACCGGAGAATTTTTTTTGGCCTAACCGAATTATTTTTATTCACTCACATTATTCATCCTGTGGATTTTGGTTGCGCAACGTTTTAGACTCATCTTGATCCCGACAATCCGGAATTGTAGCCTTTTTTTTCTTTGCAAGATCCACTTAAACCTAGCTGTCTAAGCTTTAAAGTTTCGAACAAATATCCCGAAGTGTTCTTCACAACAGGTTAATCCGATTTCCCTAAACCCCTATCAAAGAGGGAATATTAAAAACAAAATCGAGGACACTCAAGCTCATGTCACTGAGAGCCCCAGCTGTTTGGTTTAAACCAGCTTGAAAACCATTTGGCTCGAGTCCCGGTCTTTACTCGGTAGAGATACAGAAGACATTATTGTTTAAATTTCCTTGATTTTTGCTGCAATTGTTCTGCAAATAACCCAAAAAGCATCTCACTTTTTTTGGCCAAGGTTAGCTTACAGAGAGAAATGGTAACGCAAACAAGAGCAGCTTTCGGAAGCATTAAAACGGGGAAGGTATGCGTTCGGTAACAAACAACATATGGGGTTCCAAAAAATCCACTTGATGTCGCCGTTTGTTGTAGGCCCACTTGATTTTTCTCAACTATCTATCAAGTATCCATCATCATTTCCTCTCGATGACGTTGGAGCGATTGGAGTTGCTACAAACATGAATTTTGATGATTCACTTTCTCTCTATAATAACACCCAAACCACACCCTCAGTTTTGCATCATGCTAGCCAGTCGGTGTTCACGGAGCGTCGTGATTGACAGTAATGACCAAAGCCTATTGTGTCCCATGTCCTTCGGTATACCATTAGCAGCTCTATCACATAAAGGGTTTCCATTGCTTCCTCGTTTGGGACTTACACAACCAAGCTATACTCCCAAAGGAGTCATTGTAAGAAATATAATTACCGGCGGTATTCATTGGTTTCCTTACGAAGACACCAATGCCGTCAATGAAAGGAAACCTAAAAAGTGTTCTCCTACATCTATGCAAGTTTGAGATTGCACATCTGGTAGAAATTAGTACCAATGCATCGATAGAGCAACGCTTATTTCGTGTTATTGGTATAGAGTCTTTGTCTTGACTGCTCAAGTGCTAGAGACATTGATGTCTTGAGAGTGTCATATGTCGTTGCAGTATTCTTTTGTGACTAGATCTTTCTGTATTTTCCTAGGTTGCGAATCGGATCAACAGTTCCATCGACATGAAAACGCAACTGGTAGTATTTCTGGCCCTGGCCGCAACCGGCTATTGTTTCCGTAAGTATACCAAGCAAAACCCTTGACTTTTTTTTTTAACGCAAAACGTAATTGAATGACTTTCAAACGAACAAAGATTGTTTGTCTTTGGACAAGCACCAAGTCAAACTCAATAGACTTCATGCTTAACAACCATCTTAGAAGGCGATGCCTTTTTTTTTGCTGGGATATGCATAAGTGAACCTTTGGTGTATTCATTGTTGAATTAAAATAACACAAGTTGCCCTCGAAACAGGCCGCTACGCTATTATAGCTAGAGCCTACTCGGCAAAGGAGTATCATCGTACGAACGCGACACAAAAGGTTATCTTGTTATGGTAGATAGGTGGATTTCTTCAGTCTATGCGCGGTAATTTGAATTCGTATAGTGAAGATCATTAACTCCCCTACATGATCAACTAGGACCCACACCCAACCTGGCAAATTTCAATAGCACATGGGAAACTGCACACACATGACTTTGATTCTGGAGGTGAGCCAACCCAATAAAGAAGACTGTCAGTCCAGGGGTACTGTATCCATCCTGGCAGATTCCAACAAAACATGCCGTTGGAGATTGATGGGTTCACTGAGATCTGTTAGGTTTAAAGCCCAGCCTTTGCCACAACCCACAATTCAGACGCGGCCTTCAGTGGGATTAGAATGGCATTCCAAGGGATTTCTGGCGAGAGGAAACATAACACCCTCTATTCTCGTTCTATTCATTGTACAGACACTGTATAGACTTATTGGCGTAAAAGGAAGCAAACATCCAAACCAAAATTTGTCTGACATCGCAGAGAACTTTACTCTTGTTGGTTGGCCTTCAATTTGCAACTTTTTGATGCCCATGGTTTTACTGATGGGATCTATTTTTCCAAGACAGGTCGATATCTGGCTTGGAAGAAAAGACAAATTAACCTCACCTTCTCATGTGGATAATTATCGTCATTACCACGTTTTAATCTGCGAAACTTGGCTTGATGTTTTACAAAGTGGCAGCCAAGTTTGGCTGTCAGTACAGTGCTAAGCCGCTGTATGACATTGGGGACCTTACGTAGTTGAAATGCTATATTCTAACTATGCAAAGGGAATCACAATTTTGAGGCCCTCGTTTATTTATAACAATGCAAGTAGAAAGAGCGCGAGTCGTAGAAAAAAAAACTCCCTTTAGATTCAAACGGTGGCTTCAAACGGTGGCCTCATTTTGAGCTGTCAAGCATGGCTGGTGGGGCCTTAATGAGCGGTCGATGACCAGACACCCACGTCACGTGACGAAAATCCATTTGAAGGATTTTCGGGACCTCTGAACTTTCTAACCAAGCATACAATAAGACTTGAAGAAATGAAACATGCTGGTGGGTGACAGTGTTTTTTTTTTCGCTCTGGCATCTTGCCAACTCTGGAGGCCAATTTTTTTTGCTCTGGTATCTTGCCAACTTTGGAGACCATAAGTTCTGATGACCAGCGATTTACTTCCAAAACAAATCTTTATTCCGACATAAGCATATACGTTTTGTTTACGTGAGAAACCATTTGATAAGTTTGTAAGTGTCCAAACATTTGAAAAAACGCTGTCAGCGCAAGGAGAAAACTCGAACAGAATTATGTAATGTTTGGCTGCAATCAATATTCATTTAAGTGCTGGTATTTCATTCATTTAAGTGCTTGTATCTTCTGCTGAACACTATCGAGGATGTCAAAAAGAGCCTGCAAAGTGGAGGATTTTGAGGGGAAAAGGTGTCAGCAAACTTTATCCAAAGAGATACTTATTCTGGGTGGGAGTAGTTACTGTTCCGCTAGAATGCCATAGGGATGAGGTTAAGTACCCTTAAAGCCGGACACAAAGTGGACACTGAGTGCAATGATGCATGTTTTTTCCCTGTCCTATTCTGATGTGTTCTCAACAGAAACCATATTGATAACCTTCACAAAGTTACGAAGAAAATTACACAAACTTTGCAAAGCATTAATGCGGGAGTTCTCCGCCACTACCAATGTAAGCACACACCGTGCGCATTTGTCATGCTCACACATTAGTATCGATCCTAGGTTAAAACAAATGGAACCCGATTTATCTTGTTTGTTCTTAGATTCTCATGGTTAATTTGTCCTCACTTCACAGCTTCCAGGGAGACGCGATCAACTAACTCTGCCTGTGACCCCAACCCCTGCTTCAATGGAGGTACCTGCATGGACCTGGGCAGCTTCTACGTGTGCGTTTGTGAACAGGAGTACCTGGGAATGCACTGTGAAACGCGCGAAACCCCTGGTTAGTTGGCTAGCAGTACCGAATCACACACGTCTGACCACGCATAAATGCCTGGAGGTTTATGCCACGGTTTGCGTGATATCATGTTCAGGTCCGAAAGTCGCATTTATTGGGAGCAAAGGCCCATCTCATAGTTATTTCTTTGATTAGTCCACTACTGAGTTGTGTTGGCAAACCATGACTTTGATCACAATAAATGTCCTCTGCCGTGGATAAGCGTAAGAAAACAGTTACTTTTGAAATTGAGTTGTATACATCTTAATGGTATACATCTTGGTAGATTAACCGGTGAATGTTGGTCTATTTCCCGCTTGTATAACACGGTGTATGATCGCTTAATTTTAGCAATAGGCATGCAGCGCTTCATACTAAAAAAAACCAACAACTCCAACATTTTCACAACATAAGCCTGTGATTTACTGCACGAATTATTCATAAATTATTTTGACTTCACATTGTCATCACAGTGGCTGTAGTGCAGGAGGATCCATGCGACCCCGATCCTTGTCTTAATGGCGGACTGTGTTATCGCCAGGATGAGAGTGGGACTAGCGCTAGGCAGTTTCGCTGTATCTGTCAAGGGAATTTTGCGGGCGAACTCTGTGGTAAGGCGTATTTTCTAAACCGTTATTAAAGTTGTCATGATAGTTGCCATGTTGTCTACACTGGCTTTCAAGTTTTCAGCACTTGATTTGTCATGCATGTTACATCTTTTTGACAGCAGTTTATGGTCAAATTTTAACTTGGAGTTACACAATGAACTGCTAACTTTTTACATTGGATCACGGGTAGCTCTTCTGTTCTCTGTTTTCCTCAATGCTATGCACTTGTTGCTTTTGCCACACATGACGACTCATTTGCGTATCACTCAGTATTCCCTTTTCCCATGTTGTCTTCGTATTGTTTGGTAATTGCCATCTGCATTAAGTTGAAACTTTCCTCTTGTAGATGTCGATTTTACTTTGTAGAGGAAAGGACGCCTATTTTACTGTTCGACACAATTCATTGACCATCACCTTAGTGGCAATGTACCCTTCCCATCAATTCCTACTCGGAATGCTTCTTTCACCAACAGGTGCCCAGCTGCTGACGTCAGAGTGTGAACCTAATCCGTGCCAGAATGGCGGTGCCTGCGAACCCAGCCAAACCGCAGCTTCAGGCTATGTTTGTCGATGTGCCGAATCCTACGGCGGAGCCAACTGCGAAAGAAGTAAGAGCCTTTATAATTATGTCCTCTGTGTTAAACTCAACGCTGCGATTTGTCTTTATAGTTGCTCAGTTTTTTGCTTGGATGTGTGTTCTTTCCTTTGCCTATTCCGCGAGCATGCATTCTTAGCAACTGGGTGACTTGGAGATTTCCATCCTCTTGATCAACCGCGTAGCTCATGTTCTATGATTGAAAGCTGTCACTTTGGCTCAGGTGATTAAGTTAAGGAGAAACGTGAGTCAGACAGAACCACGTGTGTGGTAGGGATTCTGGTCTACTTTGTTACAAATTATGTTTTTCTCACTTAACCATCCTGTTATGTTTTTGTGCTGACAGTGCCTTGTGATATGGATCCCTGCATGCACGAAGGCGACTGCTTCACTGGATACAAGAACAGAGGTCTCTTCATGTGTAGATGCAAGACAGGCTTCAAGGGCGAGCAATGTGAAATCTCCGGTAAGAACAAAAGGTTCAGTCTTGCTTTTTTCCAAGCACTAGGTAGACTTGACCGTCATGACTTGTATCTTTAAGAAGGCATGGACATCTTGGGAAGATTTTAAGCAAGATTTGCTTTTTGATCTTACGTTATCCTTCTGCATCTGCGGAATTCATAAAGCATTTGGACGCGGTAGCACCTTGCCAACATCTCGAATTCCCGGGCTAGGGCGACAAAATAACAGCTCAACTTTGGACCGAACATCTTGAATACAGGGGTCTTCGGTCTCTGAAATGCAAGAATACACAACATGGACACAGACATTGTAGATGGATCCACGCAACGGGGCTATGCTCAAGCTGCTCACTTCCGTCACCTATTGGATGGGCCAAAAATTCAAAATTGTTTATTCTCTTTTAATCTGGCTTTCGTTGTTGTAGACCCATGCATGGACAACCCGTGTGGGGAAGGCAACATGTGCAAGCCGGGTAGCGATCATACATTCACCTGCATGTGCCCCTGTTCCCCTGGAAGCACCTGCCTTAGTGGACCCGATGGAGGTAAGTCCAAAATAGAGATTGGAGTCTTGTCCTTAAATATTTATTAAAAAATAAGCCATGCCTTAAAGATGCTGAAATTTGACTGACTGTAATGCACCGTGACGATCCAACCTTCCCTGTCATCCGATTGGCTTAGCCGGTTGCCCTCATATTTGAATTGAATTGACCCCGAGTATCGATCCTCCTCTAAGGTCCGAAGAATCAGCCCGTTCCTTGATGCCTGCTGATGACACTGGAGACATTTACATGTAGTTGGTATTACTTATAGTCGAAAGAAATCAGCTGAGCACCTGTAGTTCACTGGAAGCCAAACGGATCGAATAGCCTCTTTTCAGAATGACAAGATGCCTTGTGGATAGTAGCTGAGGACCGACTGATCATCCTATCAGTTCAGATTTTTGCTCACGACATGTTGAGGGTGAGGATTTTTTGTTCTTCACACCCTGACAGAACCTTAAGTTGAAAACTTTATTAATGCCAACCAATGATCTTGTTTTTTTTTCTCGCAATTCACAGGTAATGGAGAGACAGACGGAGGAGATAGCAGTACAGAAAGACCAGACGGCAGTGAAACCGATAGTACCGGTTCCGGAAGTTCAAGTTCCAGCGGTGGTTCTGATAGTTCTGGTTCCGATAGCGGTTCTGGTGGTTCTGGAACCGGAAGTGGAACTGGAAGTGGTAGTACCGATTCTGGGAGCTCTGGTAGTTCTGGTTCCAGCAGTGGTTCTGATAGTTCTGGTTCCGATAGCGGTTCTGGTGGTTCTGGAGGTCAAAGTGGAACTGGAAGTGGTAGTACCGATTCTGGGAGCTCTGGTAGTTCTGGTTCCAGCAGTGGTTCTGATAGTTCTGGTTCCGATAGCGGTTCTGGTGGTTCTGGAGGTCAATCTGGAACTGGAAGTGGTAGTACCGATTCTGGGAGCTCTGGTAGTTCTGGTTCCAGCAGTGGTTCTGATAGTTCTGGTTCCGATAGCGGTTCTGGTGGTTCTGGAACCGGAGGTCAAACTGGAACCGGAAGCGGTAGTTCTGGTTCTGACAGTGGCTCTGGAACCGGAAGCGGTAGTTCCGGCTCCGGAAGTTCTGGTTCCGACAGCGGTAGTGGTAGCTCTGGGAGTGGAGGTCTCACTGGAACTACATCGCCATGTTTTCAAATGATGGAAGAGACCGAGTATTGCAACCGACGTGGGTTCTGTGTTGAAGACGACACTAGTGCATTCTGCCGTTGTTTCGACGGTTATCGGGGCTCCACCTGTCAGCTAGTCGATGATCCTAGTTCTGGCGGAGACTCAGCTACCAACGGCACCGGTTCTGATAACTCCGGTACAGGGACAGGGACAGACGGCTCTGGGACGGACGGAGGCACCGGGGATGGCAACACTCTCCCCCAGGTCGGACCGGGATCAGGCTCCAGTGGGTCGGGTACATCTGGGATCAGTATCAAACCGTGCTTCGACATGATGCGCGAGTCCAACAACTGCACCAATCACCAGGGGTACTGCATGGAAAGTCGGAATGCCGGTGCCGCGTGCGTCTGCTATCCCGGCTTTCGAGGCGTCGACTGCTCCGAGACCATATGAGCATGTGCTTTACTGAATTCCAATGTGTATTGCAGTGTGATAAAGGAAGGACTAAGCGAAGTCTAACGTTTAAACATAATACATGTATCATGATTTGGTCAACTTCCTCATCGTCTAATTGTATTTCTTAAAGAAACTTTTTTTGGGGGCGGGCCTCCTTTATCTGAATTTCAAAACACAGAGATTACTTCAAATCTTACTAGCACAAACGATTCCATTTTAAAGAGTGATTATTGTATTTTCATTGTAGATCATTCTATAGAAGTCGGAGCTTTAACCAATTTAGGGTTAATCACTTAACCATGTACAGAAATGGAATGTCTGCATGATAATAATAATTAAACATTAACTTAATGCCGCGCGCTTATCTTTTCAAAGGTCACCCAAGACGCATGCTTTAGGTCAACACGTCGTGTTCTGGTGGTGGGAATATGCAATATAGAACTGTATGAATGTAAGAAAAACATACTAATCAAATAACTGCTGGAGATAAAAAAAAACTAACGTGGCCTGAGTTGTTTTTATTTGTTTATTTCAGGTCAGTTGAGTGAGTGAGCCGTTTGTGGCGGTTTAAATCATTTTCTTCTTCTTGAGATTATAGGATAAGGACATTTCAATCATATCCTAATTTTGTTTGTCGAAAGGTTGTTTTGAAGAGAACATACCCCAGGTCATTCGCCATTTTGCATTTTATAAAAATAAATGAAAAAGTAAACGACACAATTTATGCAATCGCTATTTTTGTGGGAACCCCCCTCCCCCCCCAAAAAAGGGTATCGAACTGTCTATTCCCAACTCTTTTCTTAAGAATTTTTGAATTCCCTGCCGGCAGGAAAATATCTAGTTATTTTTAAAGATTATATAAGGAAAAAGTTGGTATAATTAACCATTAACTGTATAATAATCATTAACTGTGTAATGTGTGGCATTTATATACTCACAGAAAAGGTGTGTAATCATTGTATGTAATTGATGTTTCATTGAGTTAAAGCGTCCGGTAATTCTGTCATGGATTAAAACAAGTGAAGTTGACATGTCTTTGTTTATTACTTGATTCCTTTTTTCTAATGTCATGGCATACAGTTTCTTGAGTATTCTCAAGATATGAGGGGGGAAACTATTTGGTTTTATCCACAACGGTCTTCAGCCGCACATTCACAGTGATTTTTTTAACTAAAGATGTTTTTCTTATCTTGACGAGGATGTTCAAGAACAAGACAGCCATATCAGGACATAGCAACATGGTAACATGAGATGATCGACTGTCCAATTGAAAATAAAATGAACAACTCTTTGTTGGGGGGGGGGGGGAGTAAAATGGGTAACCAATTACATTCTGGTGGGGCAGGGGGTTAGACACCATCCGGCAAATAAGGGCAGTGTTCAAGACGGATGGGAATGGACACTATCCGACAATAGGTGGCGCAAAATACACACTGCGCATTATTGCAACACAGACAAGTTTGCCCTTTTATATCACGTGATGTTTACTCCAGTTCAGGACGACAAGATCAGAAGGAATGCTTTCAGTTATTAAATTGCAGCACTTAATTTTCCGTGTTTTTGTTATTCTGACCAGGAACATTGCGAAATACTCCAAAATGGCATACATTTTATTGTGTTGCAATATTCCTTCTTAATGCAATCCGGGCGTGCCGTACATGGCCTACGTGTCTAAGTTCTAGCACTTGGCAACACACTTTTGTACGCAATTCTCAGACTTGGTTTACCTCACACACCTCACACACCACGAATTATAGTAGCGCATGATCAATATAATAAAACTAAAATACCCCCTGGCAATTTCTTTTCAGCTTTTATTTGAATGGTATTTGGCAGACCTTGACACACTTTAGGGCCGAGTAAGTTCGCCATTGTACCTTTCAGTGGAGAAGAATGTGTGTGGTTTTCCACTATGCCCATTTTACGCAGCTAGTTATGCCATTGCGTGCGTACATTTTTTGCTTTGACAACAACGATCGAAGGCTGTACGACAGTTGCAAAAAAGTCTCAAAGCAGAATTTTCCTTATACTATGGATTGTCAGAGAAAATGTATATAGCAAGACCTATATATGGGTTGAGACTTTCTTAAATGGTCTAAACTAAATATTTCAGAGTAAAATGCTGAGTTTCCCAATTCTATCTTGGGTGATAAATATTACAGGCTGAAACACATGAAATAATAAACTTCGTTAAAAAGAGTTACAAGCAAATATTATAAATGTAGTTTTACCAAACGATACTTTTTTCTTCATATAACACGGCAAAGGAACGCAGACGTAAAAAAAAACAATTATGCATCACAATTCAAGAGATTATGAGATCTGACTCGGGGATGGTGACGATGTGATGACGTATGGGGTCACGTGGTTTTGATCGCTTTGTCTGCACAACAGTAAACCGTATTTTTGTTAACCCATTGCAATTTGTCAACTACTCTGAATCAATACAAAAACCTCAACATTTTATAAAATTAAGTTTGAAGAGGTTGTTTGTACACTAGATCCCCTGTCTAGACCACATCACAGCCAGACAGACAGACTGACAAACAAACATACTATATAAATCGGCCAATTTCACAAAACGTGTCTCAGTAAAAAACAGCTTGATTGGTCACATTTTGTGAACTTTTCGTGCCAATTTCACACCGCAATATTTGCTGAACTCCAAACCCACATTCCTGACACCCATCAACAATACGACGGCATACCAGACGCGGTTTGCGCTTGTCACTTAGTGCCAAAGCAGGTACAAAAGCATCTTGCTCACTTTCAGCGTGTGTGCTAACCATTTCTTGCACTTCCAAGCATTGGCAAATATTGATTGTAGAGCAAGTTCACACGCAGGCGATCTGCACTTCTGTATTAAACGCAATTAAATGACAAATTTTGAGAATATAAAAGATACTGGTGGTTAGCTGATGGGCTAGAGTAAATATTAAGCTACCGTCAGACGTGCACGAATACTTGGATGACTATCGTTCCTTTTGACAATATATAATAAGTAAATTCGATGTACATGTAATTCCGATTACAATGTACATCTAAGTGTGCATTCGTGTACATCACATATTTCCTACATATTCAAATGATCAACACCTTGCAGGACAACAATATTTCCATCGTGTCGCTACGGTACTTTGAAAATGGAAACAAAGACAATCTAAAATGAATGTTGCCGTAAGTTAATCCAACAAGTGAGGGTTTGCGATGTTCAACCTGTTTAGTTAAAAGTGATCCCTGTGTCGGATATATCGTTTGTTTATAGTCCCTAACAAGACATATCAGCAATCTCTATCGATACTAAATATGGAATAATCATGTCACAAACCGCATTTCGGACATCACAGAGGAAACGTTTGATCTGTTATGGATAAGAAAAAGAGCCAGAAATAATTTTGATTCGAAAAATCATCTGACGTCAGAAGTGATGTCACAACCTAAACATGCGAAAAATGCGTCCCCGCCTCACTGCATTATTGTACCAAGATATTTCATACCGCGGGCTGTTTTGCACTTGCAGTACAAGCCGGTGCTTGCCGGTTGGCCAATCATTCGACCATGAATTGGGAGAAAAGTGAAAGGGTATGCGTGTGTACGTCACAATGGCACAAAAGGGGCAAATTCTGCACAATGCACAAATAAAATTCTGTTGATGAAAGAAATTTCTCTGCTTTTGTGAAGGACGGGCGGATTCCGTGGCCCGCTGGCTGACATTGGTATAAAAGGGGAGGTTGTTGCGCACACAGCATATATACAGCTGCATTAGTGGTTGAACTTGCACCTGCTGGTGTTTTTGGGAGACGAAAGAATATTATTGCCTTTATACAGCGATTTCTACCAAAATATTTGATCTTGCAGGAAACCATTCTATAAACGTCAAAGGTAAGCGTAATTTCATGTAAAGATTAAGAATAACTTTGTTATGTAGTTATTTAAAATTTGTTGTATAATGTAAAATGCAGGCTTGTTACTCCATTCGACAGCAATTACCTTTTTTCTTTCGAATTTGGTAATGTGTTCTTTCATGATACAAAAACACTCTATAGGGGTCATACACGTACACCAGTTAAATTTTCGAAAATAACGACAACACGGATTGGAAATTGTAGGTTAGTTCCATCCTGGGTGATCCATACATATGTGGGCTAAATTTTCAGTGATGGTATTCAAAATGGAGAGTTCGAAATTCCGAGACACAAAAATCACGAAATCAGGTTCTGTTGCAGACCATAATGATAAGTTTCGCTTAACACTTCATCATGCCTTGTCGTTCAAAAAACAAAACTTAGTTCTGGGAAGGATGGTTAAGAACGCTACACATGTAAAACAGTTTTTGTTGTTATCCTTTTACAAAAGGAAAATCCGGCCTTGTTAAGTTGAGTTTTACGCCCAAAACAATTGTGCTATTGAACTCTGTTTTCCCATAGGCTGAAAATATGTCTTAACTCTCTTCATGTCTTCCGCGTTTCATATTCAGTTCACTGCTGGATAACAATTGAGCTTAGTGATTATTTAAACGTCATTTTGTAACACTAATTATGTAATGTCCACAGATTTCAGATTTGACAAAATCAATTTACAACCCGTGTGAAGATACCATGCCAACGTCTGTTGAACGCGTAAAGTCTGTACAGATCTGCATCATGTTTTGTGCATTATGCATATTTTTTTTGCTGACATCTGCATTTATAATAGTGTTTCTGTACTGTTTTGCGAATAATTGGGCATAGGCTACCGGAACATATTCTGAAAATAGGTCTAAAGCTTAACGTAAAGGTCAATGCAGTGTATTTTCTTAGAAACACATTTTGTGCAACTTTCTACTCCTCTTAAAATGTATGAAAACTATTTGGCATCCCTTTTTGGTTAATTTCATTAAAAAGTGTTGTTCTTTAAACATTTAAAAATTCCCATGCCTTTCTTAAAATCTGAGGGCGCTGTTGCTGTGATGTTAGTTCGGAAGACACTGTTCAGTTTAGGGGTTTTCTGTTCAAATTGTGAGAAAGGCTTGCTTACTTGCTCACTGAAACTTCAACTTGACAAAGAATCACCAAAGAAAAAAAACATTCACGACAGCAAAATATCAAAAATTCTAGCAACGTTTTGTGCTGAAATAGCTGTAACATTGAGGTTTCTGCCTGGAATTACATCAAAGATTTTCTCATGAATATGGAAATTTGCATAGGTATAAAACCATAAAAGGCACTAAAATACCTTTGAAAATGGTAAAAATAAAATTGAAAATGAGGTTAAACGGGACACAAAGGTTCATTTTCAAGGATAGCGTAAACAAAAAATTGCATGTTCCTTTAAAACACATCGATTTTTTTGTTAAACAAAAATCACAAGCCACGCGAGGGTGTCGCTAAACCACACAAAGAAAGGTATTTCGTTTATAGTTTGGCGGTCATGGGGGTATTTTGTGGTTATGTGTACAGAGTAGAGCACATTGACAGCCAGTTTGCAGTTTTTATTAAGTGGCTCCTTTTGCATTTTATTTTGTAAAACGAAAGTCATTTCGCAATGCATTATTGGCCTTCGAGCAAGTCTCTGCCGTCATGATGACGTGGCCGGAGTTTCAAGAAACCTGTTATTGGAGCACAAAGTCACAAATAAAAGAAAGGTTACGTTTTGTTGGTGATTACTAAGACTTTTCAAACGCGTTAGAGTTTCAAAAGGTTTCACCTCCGCGCACTCTATCAAGTGTGGCCTTGTAGGTGAATTGGCGATTTCGCATCTAAGGTAACTCAAAAGTTAGGGCGGTTCAAGCTTTTGTTAAAAAGTGCCCGGGGTAGGCCTACTGTTCAATTCTTAACCACTGAGACATTATGCAGGTGGTCACGTATATCGTTGGACCTTGCAGAACAAATCTTGTCTGAAGTTTTGGAAACCAGAGTAAGACCCTGCAGTACTATGCCTTTATATCCGGGTGTTATAATGGGGCTGGGGTGATATGGCGCAGTCACAGGGCACAATACTAATTACACCTCGTACAAAAGTCCTGGGCGATTATTTTCGTGTTTAAAATGGTTTGGAGAGGTTTTTTGTTTGCCTCACCTTAGGATTTACCTGGGTCTTTGCGCAAGGCCGCGCAGTGTCGTCTGTGTGCCGCCACAGCGGGGTAGTGCGAGTCAAACCTCGCCGTGTTTCAAAGCCGACGCCCCGCGGGTCGGTTCAGCGAGCACGGTCGTGGCCGTACGTGCGGGAAACACGGACAAAACATGTTTACATGGTCTCTCTCTCTCTCTTTAAAACTGCTTGTGCATTGATGCTTTGTTTCTGTGTGAGAAATCCGTAAGGGGGAATTTCTTATTTCCAAAATGAAAAGGAATTTCAAGTTACACTCAAATAGTCCGGTTACTGCGGCCCTGCCTACCATTTCTGACACGTTCGATTTTTTTTTGCACAGCCACTATTTAATTGGACCTTTCACTTCACGTCAGATCAAATTTTTTTTTTCAAAAAAACTTTATTTCTCAAGTTAAGAATTTCCTCCCAGGCCCAGAATGAAATGTCCAACTAAATATATCTCAAATCGAAACTTATACGTTAGGGAGAACAGTAGGCCTACTAAAAGTTACTACATTTGGGAAAATTACTTTTAAGCAAGTTTAAACAAGCAGATGTTAAACATTTAGGTTTCGCAATCTGAAGTAAAAAGTGTAAAATTTATTTCAGCTGTCGCTCATACCACTGCACTGTTGTATCGAGTATTATCTTTTACATGTTGATTGCCTTGACTAGGCCTATAGCAAAATCCATTACCTTGTGTATTTTCGTTTGACTTCAATTTCACAAAAGCCCTAGATTTCCAGAGGCATTTTAAATAGAGCTTGCTCAGTTGGTGATAAATATATCATTCAGCGAGCAAGGTCGTGAAAAACGAGGACTTTTTCGAACAAAAGACAAGGTGGTACTAAATTCCATCAGATTTTTTTTTATTTTTTTTCTTTTGTAAGATTCGCTTTGCTTGAAAGATTTTAAAGCGGTCACTTGCCACAATAACTGGGACTGATGCTTTTCTTTCGTTGGAAATTACTCTCTGCCCTGGCAATCTGTGCTTCGCTTTGGCCAACTGTATGGTGTATTGTTGCTGGAAAGTATGAATAAGCCCAATGTTGGAGAGTTAAATTGAAAAAAAATCTTCTCCCACTTAAAGTTGGTAGGCCTTTATTACGTGCTTTTAAAAATTTCGATTTTCTTTCCCGAAGGAAATGTCAAGGAATATCATGTCCTGTGGTCTTGAAAAAGGGACAGGGATAAAATGCATAACCATCAGGTCACTGAGACCCTTAAGAAACCAACTCGCCCCATGTATTGTGCATATGCTATATTCTGCATTGACGTGTTTATGTCGAGAGAACAATTTCAAAAATCAAGCTTTTCATCTGTTAAAAAAAAAAATTGGAACCACACACGACTTGGACATTTTTTGCATAACGCCTAAATAAAGGGCTGACTGTACCTACTACACTAACAACAGTCAATTCGGCAATTACCTAACAAACATCAACTTCGTTATACGTAGGCTAGAAGCCAACTTTATTTCTATTTAGACAGTGTTTCCTCTGTATTATTTTACGCAACGGACCGACCTTCCCCTTTGTTAGTTGTTTGGCTTGTTTGTGATAGCTTAGCTCCGGGTTTTTTTAGCCATCAATATCAATGATGCATTAAGTTATTAGAAAAATAAAGAAAGCAAAAGTGGGCACAGGCACGGTTGATGGATTGCACAATATGCCTCGTCATTCTGTTCCCAGAAAGCAGGCATTGCAAAATACCGCAGCATCGTTGTTGGAGAGTTGTCGTATTGTTGAAATGATGGTGAATTAAAAAAAAAAGTTGACTAACCCCGGGGGAACAAGACAAGCTATTGCACGACACAATAGTCTATTTTCTCTGTTTGGAACCAAATTGTGACATGTGTATAATGCTGGTACGAATTACGATCAAACGGAATGGCTACCCAAAACTATATTTTTGATCCATGTTTAATATTAACAGAACCTTTTTAGTATTCTTTATCGTTGATGACATTTGTCTCTTAACTTTAGGCCTAATATTTTGACTTTCTCTATTTTTGGAGATGAATTCCCCAATTTAAAACTTCAACAAATAAATCTAAACATTTCTCATGGGTGCCCTCTTCTAAATTGAATTTCCTGAACTGTAACCGAAATATAGACAACTTCAACGGCAAACCAAAGTATAGGTTTTGTTAACCCCTCTAGTGCAACTACAATCAAGATCATTTCATAGTTTGAGTACATGCACATGTAAAAGTAAAACACACTGAATACGCCATAATGCGATCGAAAATAAAACCTCCAAAAATTAAGAGCTAGAACGGAGTTGTTTTGATCAATAATGCGGTAGTACACTTGATTAGTTTCTTTCAAATCTCGAAGCGGCGCTGTGACGTGGCCCTTCCCCGTGAATTATGAGAGAAATTCCGCGGGATACGCTCCACCGTTCGCATCCTGTTTTGCACTTTAAAAATATTTGTTTTGTAGCATTGCAACAACACACTATCATAAAAATACTAGATACTATTTTCAATTAAAGTCAATTGTTTACAAATTGTTTACAGAAGCAGGCCTGGGGGCGTCCGGGTTTTTTTTTTTTTGGGGGGGGGTTATTTTTTGGTTGGGAGAATTTTCTCATAGGCCTAATTTTACTTATTCTGGTAATTATGAAACCAGAAACCAAGGGTTACCCAAATAGCGCCCTAGGCACTGTAGCTCGCAAGCCTGAAGAAGCCTGTAGAGAGAAGACAATGAGAACAAATAACAGTTTTAGAGGTAGGAGGAAAAACCTGGAAGAACGTTCTGGGGAAACCGTCAGAATCAGGCCGGGACTGAAAACCCAATCCAGGCGAGATTCGAACCCGGGTCACAGTAAAGGAAGGCGAGGAAAGTGATATGAATCACTGTTTATATAATATACAGTACGCTCAACGTCCTTGATATCAACTTCTTCGCTGTTCAGTAGCTCTTTTAAGGGTTTTATAAATAGGTCATGTATATTATGTTTGTCATCCTTAAGCCATGAACAAAATCTTCACTTTTTAACGGGGACCGTCTCCGTCCACATGTTTTCTTGAGACAATTCCTAATTTTTGACTCAAGTCTAAGAAACTCACATTGGTTTGATTGTTTGTTTGTTTTTGTGTAGCTTTGTTTCACATCGAAACGTCATCATAACCTCACGATGAGGACACACCTAGGCATCGTGCTCGCAGTTGTTGCACTCTGCCTAATTACAAGTAAGGAAATCAGATATTTGTAAGATTTCTGTTCCGAGATTTTAGTGTTGCACCTCTTGTTCTTACTTAGGCTCTACCGCACTTGCTTATTCTTTTTCAACCGCTCTACTGATGGACGAATTCAGAGATGCTATACAAAAGGAAAATTTAAACAAGACATCACAATGACAACGACACCGACGTCAATCATTCTGTAAAGATAACAGTGACACGAAGACATCAACGATGACAATTACATCAAGACAATAGCGACAATATTGACACTTCGAAGATTTGGCGATGACAGTACTTGGTACTTGGTGGTTATCCTCTTCAGAACTCCTCAAGGAAGTCTAACTAAAAGACTAATTGAGACAAAAACAATAATTGACAGCTGATATTGACGATGACGGTGGTGACGCCTTATGTCACCTGGACACTCGAGACTTTCATGCTAACCCTATTCTTGTATGATTTCGCCCACAGCAACTAACGCACAACAGCCCTGTAATCCGGATCCATGCCAAAATGGAGGTAATTGTTTCGCGTCACACTCTGGTGGCTTCCTCTGTGTCTGTGCTGCCGGATATTATGGGCAACGATGCGAAAATCTAGGTATGTTAAATCTATTTGATTGCAATGTTGATCAATTGTGTTCATTATTATGAAAATCATTTTGCTATCTTCTAATAATTATCATTAGATCTGATTTCATCCAGTATGTATCAAAATGCGAATATATTTTGTAATATCTTTGTTCTTTTGTATGCCATAATATAAAAGCTAGAGCTGGCAACAGATTAACTGCAACTGAAGGGAGCATAAACTAAGCTAGTTCACATTGTTGTTTTTTTTGTTCAGCGTTCAGCTTTTAGGAGTAAAAAATGCCCAAAGTTACGTTTTCATATTCCGTCTCAACCCCCCCCCCAAAAAAAATCAGGGAATATTTAAGGAAACGTTAATTTTAAATCGAGAATTTCCAAATGTCTGGTACCCTTTTCAGTGACTGCATGCGCTCCCAACGATCCATGTCAGAATGGTGGGATCTGCGTGACTTCTACATCCGCCCCTGAAGGACGATTATGCCTCTGTCCGTCTGGCTACTCGGGAGTCAATTGCTCAGTTCGTAAGTGTATTTTTGCATTTTATTTCACTTTTTTAAAACTGGAATTCGATTTTACTAGAAAGGCCTACTAAAGCTGGTCCAAGAGTGCACACAATTCTATCAAATTGATTCAGAACGGCTGTTTTCACTAGAAGTCGTTTCATACATGCGACCTACACAGTTGCCTATTCAGTGACGTTACGTGCTAATCCTATAAAATAGAACTGCCCGACACAGAGTGACAGTAATATAGCTACAGGGGTGTTTCGAAAAACATGAAGCAATTTTTTTTTAACTGAAAAGGTATTTATGAATGCCGTCGGCTCGGGTAATTATCAGCATCCAGACTCCAACCGGTCTTAAACAGTGTGTTTCAAACCGGCCAATCACACATTTATTCCATTATCAATATATGGCTTTATCGGATAACCAGGCCATAATAAAGAAAGAAAGAAAAAACACACTTACCCTTCAAGTTGAATCCAAGAATGTCTGATTCGATGCTTTGCCTTTCTATAGAGGTAAATCCTTGTTCCCCGGATCCTTGCGGAAACAACGGCCGGTGCTACGTCGGGTCAACATCGGGAACCTACCGCTGCGTCTGCCTGACAGGATACTCCGGGGATCTCTGCCAGACACAGGGTAGGCCTATGCAGTCAGATTTGCTTTTATGATTCTGAAATTTACAACAACAAAAAACATTGGGAAAATAAAAGTTTTTGGAAAAATGAAAGTTGTCAGATTCAAACACTAAGTCTTCTTCTAAAGGCGCAGCGATGAGGTCGCTGAAAATTCTGGTGTTGTGTTCTTCAAAAACGTTCCATTGATGATTCCCTACATGTAGTATAAGTATGATGCTTTTCAAGAACATCGTTTAGTTGAAACACCTTTTTGGGAAACAGGGGTACACGTTAAAGAACGTTCTGAGTTTGCTTTACATTGAAACCCGAAAGCAGCTCTTCTACAGTACATTGTAACATTAAATCTTCAGCATGGTTCCTTATGTATCCAAATAAGTTCGAGTCATCTTCAGTGATCACGCATGCTCAGTTATGTTGACATCAATTTCATCACGAGAGCAGCCTGTGCACGATAACACCATTTGAATTCTTCGTGTCTTGTTCGCAGATCCTGTCTGCTCTCCAAACCCATGCGAGAATGGAGGCTTGTGCTCAGTTCACACCGATTCGACGGGTCGCACACCGCGGTGTCAGTGCGCCACAGGTTATTCTGGGGAACGCTGCAGCGTAACCATTGGTAGGTTTTCCGTCCGTAATAAATCAACTGATACTACCCGTTAAAAGGGTCTCTTAACCTCCCCCCCCCTCCCCAAGAAAAAAAACCCACACCAGCCCCTCAACCGCCAACCCCACCCCCACAAGAATCTAAACAAAACATATCTGGCAGTGATGCACCGCATTAAGATCCACAGGCAAATACATGTAATGGTGTGGAATAATTGTTTTATTCTATCGTCGCGTCCCAAACGAAGAAACTTGAACAGGCCCACTTTTACATAATACCACTTGTTAAAGAAAGTTAATCTGTATTGCAACTGAAAACAATATGGATAATAAATTTCGTATGAAATGCGGCACATTTTTGGAAGGGTGAAGTTTTCATGAAATATTTCCACCATTAAAAAATAGTTGTCCTTGTTTTTTTTCCAGCTCCGACTAATCCCTGCTCCCCGAGCCCGTGTCTCAACGATGGTCGGTGCTTCGCCGCGACCACATCGGGAAACTATTTCTGTGTCTGCCCGACAGGATATTCTGGAGTAAACTGCGAAACACAGGGTTGGTAATCACCCCAAAACCAGAATTAAAGATACTTGGTTAAAGCAAATGAAAGAGTAGGAAACAAGCAGCGAAAATTCAGAGGAAAATTACATCTTTGGGGGCAATGGTACAGTCAGGCACATCCAAGATCGATACCAAGTCGATCGACTCGGAGTTTGAGTTTCAAAATCAGAATCGATTCTGGACTTAAGTCCCCTTCCCTTCATGATTTACAGGTCTAATTTCGTTTTCTCACGTTTTACATTGACAGCATCGATTCCACAAACAAATGGTTGTGAGTCGAACCCGTGCGTCAACGGTGCCACTTGCATGGTCTCCTTCGACAACTCGTCTCTCTACCATTGTATTTGTCCGCCAGGATACCAGGGAGAGAACTGTCATGGTGGGTAACTTTAGTTGGGTTTGGTTGGGTGGCGTGGTACAGGACTGGGCTGATATGGGTTTCGTTGGGTTGGAATTGGATTGGTTTAAGCTATATTGTGATAGGTTGGGTTATGTTAGGCTAGGTTGCGTTGAGTTGGGTTGCGTTTGGTTTGGTTTGATTGGTGATGGGTTGGGATGGTAGAATATGTTTGGTTCGGATAGGATGGGCTAGGTTAGGTCTGGCTGGTTCAGGTTGCAATGGAATGGCTCGATTTGGGTTTGGGTTTTGGGTTTGGTTGGGTCAGATTTGATTTAGTTTGGTCGCGTTTAACTGAGTTGTCAAGATTATGCATACAGAGGTATTCCAACAGAATAAACAGTTAATACATTAAATACTTCTTTAAAAAAAAAAAAAAATTATCAAAAAAAAAAACCACCTTTATTTGCAGAGGCCTCTTGTGCTAGCTCACCATGTTTGAACGGCGGTACGTGCCAGCGTGTCATGGGTGGGTTCCGATGCGAGTGCGCCCGGGGCTATGGTGGCATATTGTGCCAAACGATGGGTAAGAAATACACAAACTTGCATCACAGTACCTCAATGTCCGGAATGTTAAAACACAAACCGTTGCACTTATTTTTCCAATTTCAAGCACCGAGGATATTCACTTTCATCTTCGTTTGGTTTCATCACAGTAACTTGTGACATCAACCCGTGCCAGAACGGTGGATTGTGCTACAGTGATGCCCAGGGTGGGGCGACTTACATGTGCCGGTGCCCCAACGGGTTCAGAGGTGACGATTGTGACACAAGAGGTAAATGCTAGTCCGATCCATGCAAGAGCTGTGAATTTGTTGCATAAAACCCCCATATTTTGATGGACTTAAAGGTTTAGCCAACTCTCCTCTGACTGACCGAGTCACTAACTGACTGATTGACTGACTGACTCCCCCCCCCCGACTCCACCACTCACTGACTGACTGAGTCGCTGAGTACAAAATGTCCTAAATTATGACTAAGACTATAATGTCCTAAACTAAGCTCGACAAGGAAAACCTTGTTTAAAAAAACATTTTTGAAAATCTGAAATGGTGGTGCATGTACAAGCAGGTTTGTAAGACTGAAAATGCTATGGTACACGAGGCTTTGTTTGCACAGTGGTCGTGCCGAACGGTAGGTACATTCAGCACTTTTTCTTCAGATCCTTAAAAAAAAATCTGAGATGATTGGCTTCCTGATAACTGTGAGTCATATTCGTTTGCGAACTGCAGATCCCTGTACCAGCAATCCTTGTGGCAGCAATCGCAGATGTTTAATGGAGGACGATGGTTCCTTTGCTTGCATGTGTCGATGCAGAGAAGATGGAACATGTGAAACCCCAGGTTGGTGTCTCATTTTCTTGTTGTGAAAAATGAACTGGGTACAATATCCTATGAACTGGGTACAATATCCTATGAACTGGGTAAAATACCCTATGAACTGGGTAAAATATCCTATGAACTTGGTAAAATATCCTATGAACTGGGTAAAATATCCTATGAACTGGGTACAATATCCTATGAACTGGGTATACTATCTTAAGAAATGAGAATGTATTGTTGAGGCATCCCTTCAAGGAAAGTGACCAAAATGAAACTTTTGGATTTGTGAATGTCGATTTGAGGGCCCACTGGAAATCATGCAGGATGTAGGTAGATGGCAGCAATCACACCGTGTCCCAGACCACCGTTCTTCACTCATTTGTTTAGAATGAGGTCTAACTTGCCGTTTTTGTGGTTTCGAATTACTTGAGAAGGGCACCACCCAGATCACCCTTATCCATGCCAATGTGTGTCAGTGAGTAAGCTGTACAAGTTCTAAAACTTGAAGCAAGAATAATCGAACAGAACTTTTCTATTTTTCTATCTCTCTCTATATTTTTTTCAGATTCAGTTTGTACAAGCTCGCCCTGCCAAAATGGCGGCACCTGCCGAACCAACACTCAGGGTTACATCTGTCAATGTCCTCAAGGCTATACAGGTGTCTACTGCGAGGTCCGCATTGACGGACCGAATGCCTGCTCTAGCAACCCCTGCCTAAATGGCGGCAACTGCCAAACCAACACTCAGGGTTACAGCTGCCAATGTCCCCAAGGCTATACAGGTGTCTACTGCGAGGTCCGCATTGACGGACCGAATGCTTGCCCTATTGACAATCCCTGCCAAAATGGCGGCAGTTGTACTCCCTCTGGAAGTGGCTTCTTGTGTACCTGCCCACCGGGATACTACGGGGTTCTGTGCCAGAATGGTAAGGGTTTTGTTGGCTCTCAAATATCCTGTTCTGATTCTGCCTACTGAGGCAATGATTCCGTACTTCATAGTATAAATTGCACACTACAGGTACACCACCGATATTCCTTAAAATTCAATGAAGCGAAGGTTGTCTTTTTGTTAAAATCTAGAGCTGTTCTTGTCTGTTTAGAAGCAATGAACTTACCTAGTCGGGTTCTCTATTTGACTTGCAAAGGCGCATACTGAGACAAAAGTGAAGGCAGGCGTCCTATCCCTTATAGGTGTAAGAACGCCCGATATCATTGAAGGTTTTCAAGGAATTTGTTTTTCATTCCTCAGCTGTTTGCAGCAGCTTATCGTGTCAAAACGGCGGCACCTGCCAGCCTTACAACGGCGGATACCGGTGTCAGTGCCCCCAGGGATACTCCGGGCCCAATTGCGAGAACAGCGTACCGACGGACGTTGGCTGCCGGGCAGACCCTTGCCACAACAATGGGACTTGCTTCGATTCAGGCTCGACACCTGGAGCCTACACTTGTTTTTGTGCGGTAGGATTCTCCGGGACCAATTGTGACCAAGGTGCGTGTATCAGCTATATGATCCGTTTCTGTGATTGTTCGTTTCGATGATGGCAATATTAATCTCGGTACTAGTTGCAGAGCTTTTTTTAACAGTAATGACAATGTTTCTTTTCTTATTTCATGCAGCTTATTGTCTGGGCTCATCTTGTCAAAATGGTGGCACTTGCCAACCTCGTACCAACGGTTACCAATGCCAGTGCGCACAGGGCTTCACTGGAACGTATTGCGAGTCCCGGGTAGGAGGTCAGGATGACTGCTCCTCAAACCCATGTCAAAATGGCGGCAGCTGTCAACCTCGTACCAACGGTTACCAATGCCAATGCGCACAGGGCTTCACTGGAACGTATTGCGAGTCCCAGATAGGAGGTCCCGATGCCTGCTCCTCAAACCCATGTCAAAATGGCGGCAGTTGTTCATCCTCTGGAAATGCAGTGTTGTGCTCCTGCGGACAGGGATATTCTGGAATCCGATGTACAAGTAAGGACCTTTTTTCTTGACATTGCTTCATTCACGCTTTTCATATCTGAATATCAGAGTTTAGTTCGACTCAGTCAACGTAAGTTACATCTGAATGACTGGAGTTTTGACTCTGGAAAGAGGATTCAGTCGCTCTCCCTGTTTAATTCTGTTTTCTTTGTTTCTTTTGAATTGTAGTAACGGACGCATGCTTACTCAACCCATGCATGAACGGCGGCGCCTGTTCGCCAACCCCGTCCAACGCCGGGGCTTTCACGTGTATCTGCCCGCAAGGATTCAACGGAGATTTCTGCCAATCTCACCGTAAGGCGAATTCAACATTTTAAAAAGGAAATGGAGCACTTCAAAATGTTCAAATGCGAGGATTACTGAATGTCTAATACACTTTAATCTAGTAAATTCCAAACGTCATCAGCATGTATATACTGCAATTTGTTCCTTACTTTGCATTGGGGTGGCGAAATATTAAACTGCGGTAAAAGACATTTTTGACACTGATGTCTCTTTCTAGCCAACATGTTTAACAGTACTCTTTGTAGTGAAGTTTTCAACTGGAGTGCTCTCGAAGAAATTACTCGTGAGTAATCGGCTCTCGAGTGTAGTTGACCGGATTCCACACAATAAGATAAATAATTGGGTCCTAACTTATCAGAGCAAAACGAGGACTTGAAGTAACTAACTGTGGCTGTCCTCTTCTCTGTATTGTTTATCTTGGCAGAGGCATGTTTGAGCTCGCCGTGTTTCAACGGGGGAACCTGCCTGCCCCAAGGTGCAGGTTACCGGTGCCAATGCCAACAAGGATACATCGATGCCCGATGCGAGACAATGGGTGGTGGCCCGGAGAACGGCTGCTCGTCTAACCCGTGTCAATACGGTGGAACATGTCAGCCGAATGGTCCCACAAACTACGCGTGTCAATGCACTCAAGGATTTTCAGGGGTCCACTGTGAGAATGCTGGTAGGTGGAGTGGCAATCACAATTAGAGGGCTGTAAAAGTACGTCAAGATTGAACACACTTTCGTTTAAAATGTGTGTCGTGACATGTTGACCAGTAGCAGTCGAATTTCGTTAGTTCTCGTTTGTGAGTTGTGGGTAGGATTACAGACGATGTATGACTGCCTACGAATTGACAGAATGAAAACATTGTCATTGTGGTATGACAAGGATCGAGTCCTAGACTTTTTGCTTGAAGGGATGATTGGGGCCTGGCATTTAATGGTGTATCATGCAGTCATTTCGTGCCCTTTGAAGTAATTTTATGTAATCACCAAGAGCTTAACTACATTTTTTTCATCCCGATTTAAGTTCATACTCTCTTGTCTTTCTCTGTTGTAGCGTACCCACCCTGTGCAACACTGATGGTAGAAAGCGACAATTGTGGCAGCCATGGCCAGTGTGTGATGGCGGCCGACAACCAGGCCGGATGCCAATGCAACGCTCCGTACTTCGGGGTTTACTGCCAGTTTGACTCCACCTCGATCCCCCCGTTCATGGTGGCGTTCTTCTGCCCCTCCACGTCGGCTAGGAAGGCTACGTTCATCGGCTGCTACGCGGTGCACCGCGAGTCTGGAGGATGCAGCGGTCATGGTTGTTGCAGCTGGGATTCCAGGGGCGGGGAAAAATGCGAATGTTTCAGGGGGTATGGAGGCGCTCACTGCCAATACCGTACGGACGACAACGGTGCATCAGGTGGAAGTGGAACTGGTTCCGGATCTGGGAATGGTACTGTAACGGCCCCTGGGGCAGGAGTCAGCATTCCACTGGATGGCGGCAATGTTAACCCACCACCGGCTGATTGGTACTGCGATCCTGAAGAAGCCGAAAACGTTGTGTACTGTCCGCGGGTGGCTAGGGACACCAACTACTGCAGCAATAACGGGTGCTGCAGGAAAGACCACGAGGGGTTCAGGTGCGAGTGTGTTCCTCCCTATATCGGCGCCGATTGCTCACGGACGCCTGTCCCTGACGCTTAATAATTCTCCCTCTCCAGAACAAAACTTTCCATTGCAAACATTTCGTATTAAAAGCTGTGAGCCGCCTAGTTTGCACCTTGACGAACTAGTGTTTGAAATGACGAAGAAAATAATCACTCGAGTACACATTCTTGGCTATAAACGCTCTGTTACTGCTATTGATCAAAACGTCGGTAGGCCACGCACAATGATTACAGGCCGTCTAACAACCCTAGGTGGAGAAAACAAATGTGTGTAAGTACGTTTTCTCATCAAAGAAAACAAAGACACTTTTTACAACTGTTCTTGGCAACATTATACACAACGGCCTTACGCCAATCATGCACGTACTAATTAAGTATGAAGAAAGTGGCCTGGTACATGTAGGCCACGGGCCACTTCTGGCCAGCAATTATTGTTTCCTCTCAATTGGCCAGTGAAACATTAATGACATGTTCTTGTAAAAACAGACACTTAAAGCGTCTTTGTCTCAGGGTCTAAGAACTCTTGGCACTAGTCTTTTTACGTGTAAATATGGTAAAAAAAATAGTGGTGAGTTTGGAGGTCAATGTTTAGTAACTCGTTTATCGTTTTATTAAAACCTTACAATTTGTTGATCTGTGGTTGCTGGATCTCTGTTGAAGTCGTTGGGAGTTTTACACATTTGTGTAGCCGCGTACCAGGATTTAAGAAAAAAATATTAAGGTTTAAATCGTCTTTTTTTATAAATTTATTCTTAAAACAGGAGATGTATATTCACCATTTTATACCTTTAACGAAACCTCACGTTTTTCTTATTTTATTCTAGTTGCAGATCAGCTCTGCATGACAATTTATTATAATTATTCGTATTCCTTTGATTAGATTTGCTGATGTCAGTGTCTGTGACACTGTACATTTAAAATATAGTGAAGTTGATTACTGCACTTTTTTGTTTCAAAAGCGATGGTAATTTATACCGTGAAAATTAATACAATTGCTGCAGACTGCTTAGGCTATATCAGTTAGATAATTAGATGAGATCTTTTATGCGCTGTTTACACATTTTATTACAATGGCTAAAATATATATGTTGATTGGTTTTTAATAAGAATAATAAGAAGAGATTTATGTACATAAGTATCATAGCGAAAAACACATTTTTTTTTGATTTCGTATATCCAATAATTAACGAGACTGGATGGGCCCAAACACAGTATATCTTTATTAAGATGTCCAGCTAGACTGGCATATATGCATATAACGGGGTTTTTGTTCTACGTAAAAGAGTTGTGTTTATTGGCTTTAATGTTAAAATAAATCGATCCATACCCTCGAAATGTATAGGTCTAGACTATTCTATTTTTTTTGTCCAAATGTTCACAAAAACATGTTTTTTTTTCCTCAGATACATTATTTAGATTTTGAAAAGGGTGTTTTGAACCTGACATGGATGGTTTCATGGTGATTAGATGAATATCTCGAAGTCAGTAAGCAGTGGCGGCGCTAACGGATGGCAAGGGGGTCATTCCCCCTCCCCCACCCATCTCTCCCCCCCCCACCATGGGCGTCGCCAGGATTTTTCCTAGAGGGGGGCAAAAACAATTTTTGCCAAAAAAATGCTTGTATTTCTCAACACATTCTCGATTTATCAGTTTTAGAGGGGGCAGGGACATTCCCCTCCCCCCCAACTCATTAAATTTACACCACATTGTCTTCGCGCCTCTTTTTTTTTTCTTTTTTTTCTTCCTTTTTTTTTTTTTTTTTGCTTTTCCAGGCCCCCCCTCGCGACGCCCATGCCCCCCACCGACTGGAACCTTGAGTGCTCAAAACATGCACAACGAAATCAGGTCAACTTTACTCACTCTTTAGCCAGCAAAATTCTCCAAAATTTTCATTTGGCAAAGAAAAGGTCTTCACTATTTCTCCAACCAAGTTTGAAGACTCAACTCAATTCTTACAGGAGACTTTTCTTCATTATTTTGCACATGAGAGGGAAGTCAAATGAGGCTAAAGAATAGACTGGTACATTTCCAACCATGGTCCAAATGTTTGAAAAGGCTGACCTCTTCATTCACTGCCATTAGTCTGGTGGCTGACTATGGAGAAATGTGTAGAAATAGAGACTAGTACCACACATGCCAGATGTTTCTTTTGGCACTGTTGATTGATGCAGTACTGAAGGGTTGTTGGACTGGTTGTTTCATGTGCCAGTCTATTTTCTTGTATTGCATGTTTTCAATACCTTCAGTTTTGGGACTTTTTTTTTCAATTCTAAAGATTGAAAATTCACTCCATTCGAGTGAAGATTCACTCCCACAGTCGGAAACTAGGGACTAGACGTTTAAGGGTGAAATTCATTCAATCGTAAAGATCGAGTTTTCACTCGAGCTTCGACTGAAGTGGTTCATTTTTCAGACTATTTCTATCGAAAATGAGTCTTTTCACTCTAAAATGTCTAGTCCCTTATTTCACTCTTTGGAATTTAGAAAGTGTCATACACAGTATTGAGAGTCCAAAATTTTCGGACTACCACCCCCTTCCCCTATTGACTCAAAGTCAATATTCTGCTGTACATTGAATGTATATTTAAGACTGGAAACCCTCATAAATGGCCCTAAAACGCGGATATAATGGACAAAAATTTGTATATGAATATGGTTTTGAACGGCGCCCCAAGAATCAAATAATATCCAGCCCAGCCCCCCCCCCTCGCTTTTTCGATTTTTCCACGGCCAGTGATTCTTCTATGTCCCCCCCCCCAAAAAAAAAAAAATTCCTTGCCACTCACTTGTATGGCGCCACCATTTTCAGTAAGATGGAGGAAATCTGAACACGACACGATATTACAATCGGTGCAGAAGTCACGGTTCACCTTCCAAAAAGTGAGGATCTCATAAATTTACACAAACAAACTTATAACATGGGAAAAATAACCAAGTAAGTTTACCATGTCGCTTAAGAAAGAAAGTAGAAAGGCTACTTACATTATAAGGGCTTCTCGCATTTTATTTGCCGTTGACAGGCGTGAACCAGTTTGTCCACTGCTTTCTTGACCTCACTGGCTTCGCGTCCGACAGAGAATTCAATTCAAGATCTCCTTATCTTCAAAATGTCTTCACCACGCAGCTCCTCGACACCTGGACACTATTTCAAGCCCCATGTACCTGGTCGGCCAGGCCTTCGTTCCTGTCGCGATATTAAGCTGCTGTCAGTACCCAGATCCAAGAACAGCTTTACCGACAAAGTCCACAATCTCCGGTCCTATACACTGTAGAACACGTGCCCATATCAGAGCTCTGGACGCTGTTTCGTCACTCCGAAAACTACTAAAAAACACATTTATTTACAATTCATGGTTACTTCATTTTATGATTAGTGGTTGTTGCTCTCAGCGCCATGATCTACAGTGTTTATCCTGCATTGAGCAACCCGAACGTACTTGCAACAACACCCAGCGCTAGAGCTGGCCATTGAAGAACTAGTTATAACGTGTGTACACATCAGAATTCAAAGAATGTCTTTGTATAAAAGTATAACACGTGAAATTTCTCGGCAGTTTGGATTTCAATAGATTTGCCTGATGCTTTATCAATAAAAATGAACCCGACTACCAGATTTAAGAAGTTGTGACAATTACAACTACGCAAGTAACTCAATTGCTTGACTCAGATTACAGCGAGGGAAAAGGGTCTCGCTAAATATAGCCGAAATATCTCGCTGACGTTTTCACGGTCCAGCAAGGAAATTTGGCTTGATCACATGCGTCAATCCCGTATTAAATAATTCAGATAATCGGTCCTATTACGCAGATTTTTTTTGCTCGTGCCGTGAGCACAAAATATTGATCATAATTATTGTTTGTTCCTGTAAACTGGTTACACGTCTCAAGACAAGGGACGACCACCCAAGTTAATATGGCGGTTCGTATTTTATTGCTATAAATGCGAATGCGGAATCGTCGTCGCGAAACTTTTCTCTGCGAAATTCAAGCCGGAGTTGAAATATGTGCAACTTTCTTTGTGCGAATTTGCAACGCCAAAACTTGCCGTGGCGTCACGAATTCGCGCATGAACTGGTGTCATACGAAAATCGGACTCCTATGAAAATCGGACTCTTTTACCCTATTATTGGTTAAACCTTCTCAAGTGACCGGTCACTCTCCTAGTTATCTTTACTTAGACATGCGCGATACTACCAAAGAGTCCGTATTTCATAGAGTCGTTATTTCACGCTACACCGGTCTTATAGCGTGACATTGCAGAAAAGGGATTTTGAAACATCACCGGAGATGATCGTGCCAAGGTCAGTTTCTAGGAAACCGTCATGGAGTAATGATGTTTTCTAACGATCAATCTTTTGCAGGAATAATTGCATCCCAGGATGATTTATTTTGAAACAATCATTCAAACTCGGTCAATAACGTCAGGGGTCTCAATTCAGGAAAAGGGTGAATAGTCATGATGTGCAGTTGAGTTTTTTTTTCTAAGAGTCATCCCTAATGTTTTGTCCATTTTGTCTTGCGCCGTACTTTGCTGAACTCGCCACGCGTTCGTGGTTTTGTGATTTGAGTTTTTAATTGTCTTCGGTTCAGTGCATGGGCTGGACATCCATGATCTTGACAGGTGGACGACCATAATAATATTGTTATCATTCACGCGATATATTTCGGATCTCGCATTGGGCTAAACTTTCACTGGTAATTGATTTTTATTGAAAAGTTTTTTGAATTAATTTTCGCAATTTTCGTAACTCAGATTTCCTGTGTGTTTCCATTCGGAAAGGCGATTTTTACCCCCTGTTTATTATATTGCCTACAAAAAGACGATGTCATCTGGTCATATACTCCTAATCCAGTTTTCCAGCTTTCAAATCCAATGAAATATTCCTGCTGGATTTTGTACATGAATTTTGGTAAGCTTGTGTCCGTAGGCCTACACGTATTGCTCAAGGCATCCTATCATAACATCAACGTAATGAGCTTATGATCATTTCAAACTGTCGTAGTTAATAGGCTCGCGAGGTGTAGATAGCATGCGGTGGGCTGTGACGTGCTGTGCTACATAATGGCATGCCGTGCGCATCCCGTCAAATAGGTGTCCTGAAAGCACGCGCGCTGTGTGTGCGCAGATAGTTCTAGCTATCTACGGTAGACGAACGTTGTAGATGCGACCGCAGCGCAATAGACATTCAACTCTTGTGGAATACCGAGGCCTCGACTCATCATCCATTATTAAATGTCATTAGCTTTTTACGGGTTAATTTCGCACCGACAGACAAGGCTTCATCAGCGGGGATAAGTACTTCAACCCGGGCATTGCAGGAACCCCGCTGGTACCCTTCCCAGGAGCCATAGCGTCAGATTTCACTTGAACTTGCAACTTACTTGACAGTTTTAATTGTGAGTAGCAGGAGACAGAGGGTGCTTTAAATTTTGATGATTTGATTTCAGACATGCTGGCCTTAGCTTGATGACGTTCCCGGAATTGGATGACTTTGGCTTGAACTATTGTCAAAATATTATACCTAAACCTTAATCAAGCCTTCTTCAGGCTATGAGCTTACGTCTACATATACTAATGATTCATCATGGAGGAGACTAATTAGGCCCTATAGTAACTTTGACGATCATTCGCAGGCTGAGTGCATTTGGACGTGATAAATACCTCTCCCTAGCAAGAGTTGGTTTACTTTGCAATAAGTTCAGATCAGTTCAACTCGATATTTTTGCAAGACCGAGGTACACGGGTATCGACCATGGGTGTTGTCAGCGTAGTAAAGCGGTTCATCCGCGCCGTGGTGCCCCACATCATTGTCCTCTCCATCTTATTCGGCTACTTGATCTTCGGAGGTGTTGTCTTTAGCTACTTGGAGGCAGGACACAGCGACATGGAGATGTACAACGAGGAGCTAGACCAGCTCAGAGACAGACTGAAAAACACTAAAATGGAGCAAGCACAATCGATCCCTGGTGCCAACGAGTCCACGCGGTCCCCACTAACTGCGGGAATGTTGGGAGCGGCTATGCCGGTTATCGGCACGCCAGCCCCGGGAGAGGCGCTGGACGAAGTGGTGGACGAGATGATTGATCGCAGTCTCAGGCCGGAGTGGAAACTCGGGAGGATGCAAGCGGTGCAGAGCAAACGGGCCTGGACCTTTTCGAGCTCCATGCTGTTTTGCATGACAACAATCACCACCATAGGTAAGAAATAACATTAATGATTCCTTTAGCTCAAAAGGCTTTCTCTTGCACTAGACAAATTTAAGTTAATCCAAAAATCGGTGAACTCCGGTAGGGGGGATGGGGTGGGAGGATGGGGGTGGGAGGATGAACTCCTCTCCTTCTCGGTAATTCAAATATTCAAAGGCTGATCATCCTAAATTTTAATGGGGATGTAGCTCACACGGTGTACCTGACATTGTTCGCTATGCTTCGCATTTCACTAAGTTGTAAAAACTAATATTGATTTTTGGACCCCTAAACTTTACACTCAGAAAGTTCTTCAAAGAGGATGCTTTATTTCCTTCCTTCTCCACGAAAAAAAAGGGAAAGAAAAGGGAAAAAATGAACAGAGGAGGCTTGAAACCAATAATATACTGTGAATTCGAGGTTAAAACGTACAGTAGAAACTGCCCAAAAAGTGGTCCTACACCCGCCTATAAAACATCTCCCGGTGACCGCAAAATGATTTTCTGCTGTTGACACCTGATCCTTCTAACAGTTTTTTTGTAAGATCATCTCTAAGAAGTATTTATATTTTATTTTGAAGTCATCGTATCGATCTCAGAAAAAGGGAAGTCACATGTCAAATCCTTCAGCCTTGTTGACGATAATTGGACCTAAGTTCGGAACATGAAAGTGTTAAAACAAATTCTGTAGGCCAACCCAATTTAATGTTCTGCTTCTTTTCTCCAAATTTGCATCGGTTTTATTGTCATGTTTAATTTTTTTTAAGAGGCAGCATAGGCGTCGCCAGGATGGGGTAAGGGGGACGCTACCCCCTGCAAATGCCCAAAACAGGAAGAAAAAGAAAAAAATAGAAAAGAAAAAGAGGATGTCGTGAAGTCGTAAAATTTGCTATTAATTTTATACACATTTAACAAAATGAACTTGTGCAGGGTGTCAATGGTGCTGGATAAATGTCTCCCCCACCCTCGAAAAAAATGATAAAATGAGAATATGCTGGAGAAAGTACAAGGATTTTTGGGGGAAAATGTGCTTTTCGCCCCCTCCCCCTCTATAAAAAATCCTGGCGACGCCCATGATATACAGCCATTTATCACTTCCTACGTGAAGCATATAAATAGCACGACAGGCAATCAGCATACCTCATTTAAACCGTGGTGCCGGTGCCCGATCTTCGAGTCTTTTACCCGTGTCAACATCAATGTAAATGTTGCTGAGGCAACGGGATCAATGTTCCCGCTTGGGGAATTAAAAAACATATTAAAAAGCTATCTATTTAAAAGCTATCTCCTCTAAATCTTTCTCGACCGCCTGCGCCTTCTCAAAATATAATAAAATTATAATGAAAAAAAAATAATGTGGCCCTAAAGTTGCGAACTGAACAAGTTCTTCTTCAGAGGCCAAAAAAAAAAATGCATAGGCTTTGTGAATATATTACCATGTAAGTGGCGTTGGTACATGTGTATATTATACGTACCGTCCATTAACATATTTTATTCAGATTAAATGTGTAAAATTGATGAATAGATTAAATGTTGCATGACAACAGGAAAATATGTGGCAAGCACTTTAGGAGGCATTATTTGGGGAATGGGCGGGCACTCAGTCGGTTTTTTTTTACAATAAAAGATTAATTTGTTTTCCTTCCCCAAGTCTGAGTGGGGACACGTCCGGGGAGGGAGGGGGCACGGGCTTCGAATGGAATGGGGCGTGCCACTGAAAGCATTCAACACAGAGCAGCTAGATTTGTTATGCAAGACTACAGCAGGGAGTCAAGCATCTTCAAGACACTCTTCAAGATCGACGGATCAAAGCTCGATTAGTCACACTCTACAAAGAAACCCATGGGCTTACACCGAGTAATATGAAAGATTACCTGAACATCGTCAACTCATCAAGGGGGGTTTCTACTAGACAGACCGGACCTTTCTCATATAGAGTCATCACCACAAATAAGGACTGTTTTCGTTACTCAATGTACCCAAAGACCATCCTAGAATGGAATCAACTTCACCCTAACATCCGCTCTTCACCTGACATTAAGACTTTCAAACTGGCACTGGACAACATCAACATTCAAGACCTGGCTTCCAAAACCCAATCAAGAATTTAGTTGCTGCACACCTAACCCTGACCAACGTACGTCGACAACCTTCTAGGTGTTTGTACGTTTATAGAAACAGAAACAAAAACAGAAACAGAAACAGAAACTGAATATGTGCGGGGAGCTTGAAACGTGATGAGAATGCACCCATGCGTATTTTGTTCTCGGCTTCAATTCCAGGGATAAACTCTCCGCCAAATGAGCTCGTATTTTCTTCGAAATTCGAAACCCACAAGCTGACCGACCGGAAAAGGTCGGAGAAAATATTGCCTTGAGTCGGCACTCGATGCCCAAACGTCAATGATACCTCTTCCTTTTCGTCCGGCATTACGAGGGATATAAACGACGATTGATGATTCCTCACATTGACCTAGATTTGTGGAATTGCCTGCCGTCTCAAAGCCATCGGTCATATCGGAATTGCAACTACTAGTCCAGGAACCTTTCAACGGCAATTGGGAAGATTGCAGAGCATAATACTCCATGTTCTGAAGTTTAGATTACTAGAGGTGAGAAAATCTGTGTGGGGAGGGGGGAGGGGACCGGCACTGCGATTTCAACATGTCTATCCCCTCGAAATTTCGAGTCCGAAGCAGGTTAAATGATTTCAAGGATCAATGGTCAATATAATACATGGTCGGATTTTCAAAACAAGATAAGGTAAACCTATAATAAAGCTGATCCCATAACAATTTGGTCTGTAGATGGTCTAGGTAGCCATTCGAGTACAATTCTTTGGCCAAATTGAGGCTTAAACAAATCTAATTCACAAGTGACAGTCGGGGAGTCAGTCAGTCAGTCAGTCAGGCACAAACAGGACTGAAGGCTGGCACTATAGGACCAACAAAAAAGGGTGCAAGTGGTAACCAGCCAAACACTTCGGGATATGTGACGCTCATCTACTGCCTGAAAGGAGAAGGTTGGTTAGTTAAGTAGGTCGTGCATGGCATAGTCCGGCTCTCGGAAGGTCGTGACGTCATCAATGCAACGCTGAATGCTGAATAGTTGACGTGGTGTGATCCCAGATGTTCTCCAAAAAGAATAATGATGAGAACATTGGTACCGGTCCCCAAATTTGTGTGGGTATTCTCTGTGTTCGTTTGTCATCTACGCACTGTTTCATTTCACTATATACTGTCATTACCAATGCTATCTCTATCGCATTCACCACATAGAATGTCTCGCATTCCATAGCTACAAGAACTTGCACTGATTTATTTACACATGTCATGTCCTATCATAATCATGTGTACTTTATGCATGAACCAGATTTGAGAATGTGTCTCGGACAGAAATAGAGATATTATGTTAACCGTCAGGTTTGGCGTATATAGCTAATGATTGGTACATGTACAGGCATTTCTATCATTAGAAGTAATCGGAGATAACTACTTGAACCGGCTGATATATTCTGTCTGTTCGCACATTGACAATTTCAGTGCCTCTTCGATTGTAATGGCGCCTTACAATTCTTGGCATTAACCTATTACAAAAAAAGACCAGAGGTTATTGAACAAAATACCATACGCCATGAGGAAGAGTTCCCTCTTGTATGTACTTTCATGGTAAAGAAATGGAGCACAGAAAAGATAAGTCAGGAGAAATTAATATAAGAAATATTGAAGAAATAAATTTTTTTTTTTAAGGATGTTAACATTCTCCGTAGTTTTGGGAAAGGTTTTTTAGTTTAAATAATTAATAAAGTAAGAGGCACATTTTAGAACTACTGATGATTTTGAATTCTGAAATTCAAATTTGAAATTTTGCGCTTCTGGGCCCCATAAGACAACAAAAAGAATCTGCCTCTTGTATTACAGTTTTTGTGTACCCTTCTTGGATTCAGAAGGTCAAAACATGAGTGTTTCAAACCCGACGGCGGACTGTATCATCCCTAAGCAATGTGAGATTTTCTACTGTCCATCTGCACCTAGTTTATTTATAAAGGTCCAGGTCTATGGTGTGCTGGAATAAATTGCACAACCATCTGTTTAGATGTCTCGCCGGTCATTCAATAGGAGTCAGGGTTAAATACTATATGCCATTAACAGGCCACGTGTCAGTTATCATTCAAATCTCAATTACAAGATGGAATGCTGCCCTTCACTCCTAACATCATCCGAGTATCGTCTTCTAGTGGGCTGTCTTTGAGAGATCACAGGTTACACAAAGATGGGATTCGTACCTGCGAGCGTCTTGCTTACTCATTCAAACATCCGTACCAAGAAAAAATCACAAAGATTGCCAGAACGAGTAAACCAGGTTGGTACGAAGTTTTAACGGAGACTGTTCGGTCAATGAAAGAGGAAAATTTGCCTTTATATCTTTGCGATGAGATAAAAGTTAAAACGCACAGTTCACAGTATGCGGCCCACACTGCTTGGGTAATAGCAAATTCGCGAATGGTCTTTTGACTATATGAATGTCCTTTTTTAAATTTATGTCGAATAGGTATGGAGATAAGGCTTAATTGTAAGTGGCTCGCCATCAATGAATCGTGTACAACATTACATGGCGTTGTTTTTCGCATTGAAACCTGAGAAATACATATATTCCTTGGTACAAGGACGGTCGCCCCAAACTACTGTGCCAGTATTTTATCCGGCAGCACCTGTTCCTCCCATTAGCCTACGATGTGTTGTATTCGTCACGTGCAAACTGCCCAAGCATAAAATTAAACTCTCAACTTGCAGGCAGCGGTTTATTCAGTGCCGCACTTTTGCACGATATGTATTCCCCAAAACATGAAAACCGGCGACCACTCGGTCAAGCGAAACACGATGTGGAGAAACATGCAGGGTGGCAACTCAGCCGCAAATATGTTATTAAGGAAATATCGGTGTCAGGAGTGGCTATCACTGAGGCGCGGCATCTCACTCATACTTCCTTGACAGTGGCCTGTTTCTAAAAGTCC